GGGGGGCGGACACTGTTAAAAGTATATATTTTCTATATAAATTATATAAATTTCATTTCGTTCGGGGGGCGGTAAAAATTTTTCGGCGGGGCTTCGCCCCCCCCCCCCGAAGAGATGCCTGGAAGAAACTCTGAACGGGACGCCCACGTCCTATCGTTGCCCTGTACCTACATGTGCTAGCAGTTCCCCTACATGGGGCACCTTCAACGTGTGCTAAACCTTACATTGGGCGCCCTGTATATGTGCTAGTAGTTCCCCTACATGGGGCACCTTCAACGTGTGCTAAACCTTACATTGGGCGCCCTGTATATGTGCTAGTAGTTCACCTACATGGGGCACCTTCAACGTGTGCTAAACCTTACATTGGGCGCCCTGTATATGTGCTAGTAGTTCCCCTACATGGGGCACCTTCAACGTGTGCTAAACCTTACATTGGGCGCCCTGTATATGTGCTAGTAGTTCACCTACATTGGGCGCCCTGTATATGTGCTAGTAGTTCACCTACATTGGGCTTCCTACATTCCTGGTTAATATATTTAAATGTAAAACATAACCAGAAAATAAAAATAAATATAATACCAGATAGCGCTGTGTCATAAAAAACACATGTTTTATTGTTCTACAGCACGCTCTGATGACGCTAGATCCGGGACAGTAAATTACAAGCATCATTGAAAATAAAATTACACGCAGCATTTAAAATAAAATTACACGTAGGGGCCTAACTTTGAGAATGAAACTACAAGCTTTAATTTAAATAGAATTATACGTAACATTGAAAATAAAATTACACGTAACATTGAAAATAAAATTACACGTAACATTGAAAATAAAATTACAGTAAACATTGAAAACAAGTTAATAAAAAGTCTAGTGAAAATTTAAGCGCAATTTCCTTAATTAATTTTTTGTGACCGAACGAAAGGATATTTTTGAAAACTTTCTTCGGCAATATTGTTCTAAATTATGGCAGGAATCGATTGGTAAATGTTTCAAGTTGCTAAGTGGTCTGGTTGCCGAGATATGGGCCAAAAACTGCATTTTTTCCGAGGTTTTTTGGCTTTTCCGGGAAATCCAGGAAGGAATTCCGGGAATTTTTTTGGCCCACAATCATCCACGGAACTTGCTTAACATATTTGCTTTGGAACTAGTCCTCGATATTGCTTCGTTGAGAAGGAGATACGACTTAAAGCTGCGGACACACATCGGACACACATCGGACACACATCCATCCAGAACGAGTTAATAATCGCAATTCCTGTAAGGAAATTGCGCTAATAAAAGTACATACAGCATTGAAAATAAAATTTTATACATCATTGAAAATAAAACTACAGTAGGAATTGAAAATTAGCAGTAAATTACATGCTACATAGAAAAAAAACAGTAAATTACACGTAGCATCAAAATTATAGTAAATTACATGTAATATTAAAAATAAGCAGTAAATTAAATGCAGTATTAAATTTCCCCTCTTGTATAATACGAATCGCCTATTGTTTTTATATTGTATGCAACACCAATAGAAGCGATGGACCTCTCTAAAACAAAAACTGCTAAAATAAAGTTGGGCGAGGGGCCCACCAATTCTTCATGTCCAAAACCGCTACAAGCCAAGAGCCGCCCCTGTTTTATATCAGCAAGTTCTGATATACAAGTTTAGTATTTACCCAATGTAAATCTAACTGCCACAGCTTGTAATTGTTCTCCTAATCAATATTTTTTGTTATCCTATTGCCATTCAACATAACCGACCATATTGTTGATAACCAATCCCAATGTTTACTTCTTGTTTCTCTAGGACGTTCGCTTGTTCTAAATGTTCCTCGGCTTTGTTACAGCCCAGCTGCGACTTATGTGCTGTCAACGACTGATTGCAGAGGCTGTAAAACACTAAACCCCATGATAGATTACGTCTAGCATGCACTGATGAAAAAATTCGTATCGGGAAATCCCAAACCTTATTTAGAACAATGATAGTGTGAAGCGAAACAAAACCCACCGTTCACGTTGGTATAACCCATACGTGACATTCGGTGGGAATTGTCGCCGTGACAGGAATGTGGATATTATTTCACGGTACATTGTGTTGTCTTCTGGTTTGTTGGGTATGGTGTTGTACACATAAACAGGGTGTTTTTTTTCTTCAAGAATTTTAACAATGTAGTCGGCACGCAGATTTCGATTCATATCAGTGTATGTAGTTGACATGTATATATGGGGTGATTTTAAGTTGTAACAACCTTTATAGGTTTGTTGCTAAGAGTTGGTATTCAAATAACACAGCTGATTGCAAACATCTGTGATGAAACCTACACGGTGGACAAAGTATAGACAAACTACCTGGATGCAAACACCTACGGTCAAAGTGTGCCATTTTTTAAAATGTTTTTTTTCTGATTATGTATTTTTCTGTGTGCGCATTTTTGTTTTCAGAAAATTAACTATGCGCATTTTCTTCGCGCGCATTATTCTGTTTGCGCATTTTTCTCTTTGCGCAAATTTCTGTATGCGCATTTTTTTCTGTTCACTCAATTTTCCATTGCGCATTTTTTTGCCTCGCTGCTAAGACACGGTGTTTTCTTCATCATCGTTTTCATCACCGGGTCGGCTAATCATATTTGACAGTCGCACTTGGTTCAAACTTTAGTCAAAGCCTAGCCCTTATATTCTCGTCCTTTCGACCTGTCAAGTTATCAATGTACGACTACTGAGGGGAGTGCCACTATAGCGTCGTTGTACATGCGCCGGCTGGCTACTGAACCTGTCTCGTTTACATGCATTGAATGAAAATAGGGCTTGTAAGTAGGTCACCAACTTCTCGTTCTCCTACTTGCCAGCTAGTGTATTTGAAACCAAATGTAAATATTTTTGTTGTCGGTAAAAAGTTAATGAATAAAAGCGCTACTTCCACAATAGTTAGATTATTTCAAATAGTAAATAGTGATAATGATAAATTGCAACAAGTAGACTAGCTTAAAGAAAAATATAGGCTACAATAAATTGTGGTTTTTTTTTTTTTACTTTAAAGAAGCGTACAATTTGTTATTACTTTCTCGTATATACGAAGTATAGAGAAAGTCTTGTAATCGTGCAAAAAAAAAAATCGAGATTTTTACAAATCTCGACGTTTCACACCTCACTGATACGGAAAAACATAATTTTGCAATCTTGTCCGTATGTCTGTGTGTCTGTCTGTGTGTCTGTGTGTCTGTGTGTCTGTCTGTCCGTGTGTAAACACGATAACTTGAGAACCGTTACAGCTAGGTTGATGAAATTTCATTTATAAGTATTTTATCAAAATCGTAGATCCGTATCAACTTTTGAGCGATTTCCGATAACCGGAAGTGGTACTTTTCCTACTTTGAATTTTTCAAAAGCCTATAACTTGAGTACTATTTCAGATAGATAAATGAAATTTTATATGTAAGTAAAAGATCTAATTCTCTACCTTCTATCAAATTTTAAGTCATTTCCGTTGACTGGAAGTAGTACTTTACGCTACTTCCGATTTCTCAAAAAACTAATGTAAATTTTAAAAGTAATAATAATATTGCGCACCATTATGCGCTTTTTTATTTGGCGTTCACTTGGTGTGCAATTAATTTGTCTACGAGATTTTATTCTATTTTTAAAACTTTAAGTATTTAAAATGGATTAAAAATCATGTCTATAGCACGAGTTCCCATCCCCTGTTATTTTATATAAGAATATTCGAGAAAGTTTAGGGGAGATCACTCCCGGTTTATTTTTTATTTGAATCCGTAACAAGTTCTCCTAAACGCAGTTACAATATTAATATACTAATACTCTCGGGCTACCGGTACTTAATTTGATTTTATTATTTGTAAAAAAAAATTATAATTGTTGTACTTTGAGTACTCTTGGTATTTTAAAATCTTGAAAGCGAAGTCTAGAAATAAAAAGCCGCCTTTTTTTTTGAAAATGTATTTTTCTCTTTGGCTAACGAGATCTCGAATTTTAATCGAGAGAGTCCGAGACTTACAAACCCTAGACTTCCGGTGTTAAATGGCGCGGGTTTACAATGGTACCATCACAATCATCGTGGCTTTGTTCCCTGCCGGCAAGACAGTTCGACAAGATCCATCCACAATGTCATCTCGTCAGATCAATTGTACGTCTTACACATTCAAGTTTACATCGTACTTCCTGGTCATATCGTCGTAAAGCCTGAATGGTTTTATTTTGATCTAGAATTCTAGATCTACATCTTCTTTAACTTAGCTGTATGTTTACAAGCTTTTATTTAACTAGCTTCCTCTGTTGGTTTGTAATGTAAATAATAGAGCAGCCTCCCATTTATTTATCAGTATTAAAGGGGTAGGCTCTGGAAAAAAAAACGGGGAAAACCAGCTCTTAATAAAAAAAAAATTAAATTAATTTGTTTGTATCTAGGTTAGAGTACTTAAGGGAAAATATTTACATCTAAAAAAAAAATGTGGAGTTCTCAAGGTTAAAAAACTAAAAAATATATTGATCATATAATCATTGATCGTTCTTTTCCTAATTCTATTAGCGTCATCTAGCTAATTTTTGTTACAGAAAACACTCTAGTAATATTTTTTTCCAAATTTCGTATCGTGAAATACCAGTGAATTTACTATTAATGTTAATGGTATTCCACCATGTCAAATTTCGCATACCCTAATTTAGGCGCTATATATATATATATATATATATATATATATATATATATATATATATATATATATATATGTATATATGTGTGTATGTGTGTGTATGTGTGTGTGTGTGTGTGTGCTTGCGTGTGTATATGGGTGTGTGCGCGCGAGCATAGTTTGTATATAATATTTCACGGAGTAGGGTAGGTAACTAAAATATTTTTTTCCAGGGAACAAAAATTATACTTGGTTACTTCCCTTAGACCGTGTTCAATGTTTCCCAGTTATCAACAAGTTGAAAACGATTTTTTTTTAAAAATGATCTTCTAATTAATTCACGGACTGTCTTTATTTCAGATAAATGTTAGTAACATCACTCCTTCTTCAGGAGACAAGCGAAAAGTTTTAACCTTCATCTGATATATAACATCATCTTCCTGTGACATTACGTCACTGATACAACGATCAAATGAGCCGGAACGGTTTTCTTCGAGTTTTCGCCCTCATCGCCTTCACGGCTGTTGTGGTGGTCCTCACCCTACAGATGCGACCCCACGTCGTCAATTACATCACCACAGGGCCGGGGTCGTATTTTGACAGTCGAGGTCAGAGTTTTTTAAAGTTATTCCTTTTATTAGGGGTCGGCGTGGTCAGGTCGGTAAAGCTCAAGGTTGCTAAACCGAAAAGTCTCAAGTTCGAACCCTCGGGCAGATGAGGCTCGTTAGCAGGGGACAGCCACTCTTCTAGGAGAGACAACTCTAAAATTAAACAACTGCTGCCTTATAGTTCTTGGTCGGACAAAGGCTATGGAAGCTAATCCAAAAAGAAAAGCAGGTGAAATCGGAGTCAATGGCCAATTGTGTTGGAGGCGTGGTCTCGAGTTCAAACCCACTGGCAGATAAATCTCGATCCCCTTCAACACTAATAATTAAGAACGAAGAAGAAGAAGAAAAAGAAGTAGACCTGCACTATTCCGTTCGTGGGTCATCCCCGCATGAAGTAGGCTGTGATGGTGTGTGTTTGGGTGGGGTTGGAGTACCCGTGGAGTATGCCCCCCCCCCATCCACGCCCCTACCATATTTGTTTTTATTTTTCATTTAATAGAATATATTCATTTTCTGTTTATGATAACGCAGAGACTGGTTGTAGAGAGGACGGGGTTGGGAAGGGGGAAGAAAGAGAGAAGGGGCGGGATGGCAAACAGAATAGCAATTTGAAAAGGGTATCTCATGAAAAGAAAAAAAAACTATTTAAGATCTAATATTGAAATTTTACGAAAAAATAATTCAAAACTGACCAAAATAATTATTCTACAGATATGCAAGAGTTCGGATCAGGTGAGTTATCAGCCTTGTTTCATTCGCATTTTTTAACCTACTACCCCTTCTCCTACCCTAACCCCCCAATCACACCCTCGTTCGCCACGCTGTAAACGTCTGAACCCTTACACCTATTTTTTTTACCCTTTCTAATAACCACTTTCATAATTTTAATGCGTTCAGTTATCGCATTTTAGTTGAATATTGTTTTAATGTAAATCGTTATTTTCATGATTCACCCATATAATACTCCACGTTTTTATTGATCGATGAGGTCTATTCAGAAAACAATAGACTAATGAGGTGTTTATGTTAGACTTCGTGGTTTCTATGGCAACATAGTAAAACATAAGCAAATCTGTTGATGTTTCACTCAGGTCCCCTGGCTTTTGTACGTAAAAATGGTTATGTAAACACACTGGTGGGGCTAAACCTGGATAACCTAACCTTGGATGAGTTGGTATTGACGATCCACAGTTATCCAGATAACATTGAGGTAAGTGGTCACATGGGTAGTGTTTGTGGGGGATTGTGTGAGGTGGGTAGTGTTTGTGGGGGATTGTGTGAGATTACACCTGGGTAGTGTTTGTGGGGGATTGTGTGAGGTTACACCTGGGTAGTGTTTGTGGGGGATTGTGTGAGGTGGGTAGAGTTTGTGGGGGAATGTGTGAGGTTACAACTTGGGTAGTGTTTGTGGGGGATTATGTGAGGTTACATCTGGCTAGTGTTTGTGGGGGATTGTGTGAGGTGGGTAGTGTTTGTGGGGGATTGTGTGAGGTGGGTAGTGTTTGTGGGGGATTGTGTGAGGTGGGTAGTGTTTGTGGGGGATTATGTGAGGTTACATCTGGGTAGTGTTTGTGGGGGATTGTGTGAGGTTACACCTGGGTAGTGTTTGTGGGGGATTGTGTGAGGTGGGTAGTGTTTGTGGGGGATTGTGTGCGGTGGGTAGTTTTTGTGGGGGATTGTGTGAGGTTACACCTGGGTAGTGTTTGTGGGGGATTGTGTGAGGTGGGTAGTGTTTGTGGGGGATTGTGTGCGGTGGGTAGTGTTTGTGGGGGATTGTGTGAGGTTACACCTGTGTAGTGTTTGTGGGGGAATGTGTGAGGTTACACCTGGGTAGTGTTTGTTGGGGGATTGTGTGAGGTGGGTAGTGTTTGTGGGGGATTGTGTGAGGTTACACATGGGTAGTGTTTGTGGGGGATTGTGTGAGGTGGGTAGTGTTTGTGGGGGATTGTGTGAGGTGGGTAGTGTGTGTGGGGGATTGTGTGAGGTTACACCTGGGTAGTGTTTGTGGGGGATTGTGTGAGGTGGGTAGTGTGTGTGGGGGATTGTGTGAGGTTACACCTGGGTAGTGTTTGTGGGGGATTGTGTGAGGTGGGTAGTGTTTGTGGGGGATTGTGTAAGGTGGGTAGTGTTTGTGGGGGATTGTGTGAGGTGGGTAGTGTTTGTGGGGGATTGTGTAAGGTGGGTAGTGTTTGTGGGGGATTGTGTGAGGTGGGTAGTGTTTGTGGGGGATTGTGTGAGGTTACACCTGGGTAGTGTTTGTGGGGGATTGTGTGAGGTGGGTAGTGTTTGTGGGGGATTGTGTGAGGTTACACCTGGGTAGTGTTTGTGGGGGATTGTGTGAGGTGGGTAGTGTTTGTGGGGGATTGTGTGAGGTGGGTAGTGTGTGTGGGGGATTGTGTGAGGTTACACCTGGGTAGTGTTTGTGGGGGATTGTGTGAGGTGGGTAGTGTTTGTGGGGGATTGTGTGAGGTGGGTAGTGTTTGTGGGGGATTGTGTGAGGTGGGTAGTGTTTGTGGGGGATTGTGTGAGGTTACACATGGGTAGTGTTTGTGGGGGATTGTGTGAGGTGGGTAGTGTTTGTGGGGGATTGTGTGAGGTTACACCTGGGTAGTGTTTGTGGGGGATTGTGTGAGGTGGGTAGTGTTTGTGGGGGATTGTGTGAGGTGGGTAGTGTTTGTGGGGGATTGTGTGAGGTTACACATGGGTAGTGTTTGTGGGGGATTGTGTAAGGTGGGTAGTGTTTGTGGGGGATTGTGTGAGGTGGGTAGTGTTTGTGGGGGATTGTGTGAGGTTACACCTGGGTAGTGTTTGTGGGGGATTGTGTGAGGTGGGTAGTGTTTGTGGGGGATTGTGTGAGGTGGGTAGTGTTTGTGGGGGATTGTGTGAGGTTACACATGGGTAGTGTTTGTGGGGGATTGTGTAAGGTGGGTAGTGTTTGTGGGGGATTGTGTGAGGTGGGTAGTGTTTGTGGGGGATTGTGTGAGGTTACACATGGGTAGTGTTTGTGGGGGATTGTGTAAGGTGGGTAGTGTTTGTGGGGGATTGTGTGAGGTTACACCTGGGTAGTGTTTGTGGGGGATTGTGTGAGGTGGGTAGTGTTTGTGGGGGATTGTGTGAGGTGGGTAGTGTTTGTGGGGGATTGTGTGAGGTTACACCTGGGTAGTGTTTGTGGGGGATTGTGTGAGGTTACACATGGGTAGTGTTTGTGGGGGATTGTGTGAGGTGGGTAGTGTTTGTGGGGGATTGTGTGAGGTTACACCTGGGTAGTGTTTGTGGGGGATTGTGTGAGGTGGGTAGTGTTTGTGGGGGATTGTGTGAGGTGGGTAGTGTTTGTGGGGGATTGTGTGAGGTTACACATGGGTAGTGTTTGTGGGGGATTGTGTAAGGTGGGTAGTGTTTGTGGGGGATTGTGTGAGGTGGGTAGTGTTTGTGGGGGATTGTGTGAGGTTACACCTGGGTAGTGTTTGTGGGGGATTGTGTGAGGTGGGTAGTGTTTGTGGGGGATTGTGAGAGGTGGGTAGTGTTTGTGGGGGATTGTGTGAGGTTACACATGGGTAGTGTTTGTGGGGGATTGTGTAAGGTGGGTAGTGTTTGTGGGGGATTGTGTGAGGTGGGTAGTGTTTGTGGGGGATTGTGTGAGGTTACACATGGGTAGTGTTTGTGGGGGATTGTGTGAGGTTACACCTGGGTAGTGTTTGTGGGGGATTGTGTGAGGTGGGTAGAGTTTGTGGGGGAATGTGTGAGGTTACAACTTGGGTAGTGTTTGTGGGGGATTATGTGAGGTTACATCTGGCTAGTGTTTGTGGGGGATTGTGTGAGGTGGGTAGTGTTTGTGGGGGATTGTGTAAGGTGGGTAGTGTTTGTGGGGGATTGTGTGAGGTGGGTAGTGTTTGTGGGGGATTGTGTGAGGTGGGTAGTGTTTGTGGGGGATTGTGTGAGGTGGGTAGTGTTTGTGGGGGATTGTGTGAGGTGGGTAGTGTTTGTGGGGGATTGTGTGAGGTTACACATGGGTAGTGTTTGTGGGGGATTGTGTAAGGTGGGTAGTGTTTGTGGGGGATTGTGTGAGGTGGGTAGTGTTTGTGGGGGATTGTGTGAGGTGGGTAGTGTTTGTGGGGGATTGTGTGAGGTGGGTAGTGTTTGTGGGGGATTGTGTGAGGTTACACATGGGTAGTGTTTGTGGGGGATTGTGTGAGGTGGGTAGTGTTTGTGGGGGATTGTGTGAGGTGGGTAGTGTTTGTGGGGGATTGTGTGAGGTTACACATGGGTAGTGTTTGTGGGGGATTGTGTAAGGTGGGTAGTGTTTGTGGGGGATTGTGTGAGGTGGGTAGTGTTTGTGGGGGATTGTGTGAGGTTACACCTGGGTAGTGTTTGTGGGGGATTGTGTGAGGTTACACCTGGGTAGTGTTTGTGGGGGATTGTGTGAGGTGGTTTGTGTTTGTGGGGGATTGTGTGAGGTGGGTAGTGTTTGTGGGGGATTGTGTGAGGTTACACCTGGGTAGTGTTTGTGGGGGATTGTGTGAGGTGGGTAGTGTTTGTGGGGGATTGTGTGAGGGTACACCTGGGTAGTGTTTGTGGGGGATTGTGTGAGGTTACACCTGGGTAGTGTTTGTGGGGGATTGTGTAAGGTGGGTAGTGTTTGTGGGGGATTGTGTGAGGTTACACCTGGGTAGTGTTTGTGGGGGATTGTGTGAGGTTACACCTGGGTAGTGTTTGTGGGGGATTGTGTGAGGTTACACCTGGGTAGTGTTTGTGGGGGATTGTGTGAGGTTACACCTGGGTAGTGTTATTGGGGGATTGTGTGAGGTTACACCTGTGTAGTGTTTGTGGGGGAATGTGTGAGGTTACACCTGGGTAGTGTTTGTGGGGGATTGTGTGAGGTGGGTAGTGTTTGTGGGGGATTGTGTGAGGTTACACCTGGGTAGTGTTTGTGGGGGATTATGTGAGGTTACATCTGGCTAGTGTTTGTGGGGGATTGTGTGAGGTTACACCTGGGTAGTGTTTGTGGGGGATTGTGTGAGGTGGGTAGTGTTTGTGGGGGATTGTGTGAGGTGGGTAGTGTTTGTGGGGGATTGTGTGAGGTTACACATGGGTAGTGTTTGTGGGGGATTGTGTGAGGTTACACCTGGGTAGTGTTTGTGGGGGATTGTGTGAGGTTACACCTGGGTAGTGTTTGTGGGGGATTGTGTGAGGTGGGTAGTGTTTGTGGGGGATTGTGTGAGGTTACACCTGGGTAGTGTTTGTGGGGGATTGTGTGAGGTTACACCTGGGTAGTGTTTGTGGGGGATTGTGTGAGGTTACACATGGGTAGTGTTTGTGGGGGATTGTGTGAGGTGGGTAGTGTTTGTGGGGGATTGTGTGAGGTTACACATGGGTAGTGTTTGTTGGGGGATTGTGTGAGGTGGGTAGTGTTTGTGGGGGATTGTGTGAGGTGGGTAGTGTTTGTGGGGGATTGTGTGAGGTGGGTAGTGTTTGTGGGGGATTGTGTGAGGTGGGTAGTGTTTGTGGGGGATTGTGTGAGGGTACACCTGGTAGTGTTTGTGGGGGATTGTGTGAGGTTACACATGGGTAGTGTTTGTGGGGGATTGTGTGAGGTTACACCTGGGTAGTGTTTGTGGGGGATTGTGTGAGGTGGGTAGTGTTTGTGGGGGATTGTGTGAGGGTACACCTGGTAGTGTTTGTGGGGGATTGTGTGAGGTTACACATGGGTAGTGTTTGTGGGGGATTGTGTGAGGTTACACCTGGGTAGTGTTTGTTGGGGGATTGTGTGAGGTTACACCTGGGTAGTGTTTGTGGGGGATTGTGTGAGGTGGGTAGTGTTTGTGGGGGATTATGTGAGGTTACACCTGGGTAGTGTTTGTTGGGGGATTGTGTGAGGTGGGTAGTGTTTGTGGGGGATTGTGTGAGGTGGGTAGTGTGTGTGGGGGATTGTGTGAGGTGGGTAGTGTGTGTGGGGGATTGTGTGAGGTTACACCTGGGTAGTGTTTGTGGGGGATTGTGTGAGGTGGGTAGTGTTTGTGGGGGATTGTGTGAGGTGGGTAGTGTTTGTGGGGGATTGTGTGAGGTTACACATGGGTAGTGTTTGTTGGGGGATTGTGTGAGGTGGGTAGTGTTTGTGGGGGATTGTGTGAGGTGGGTAGTGTTTGTGGGGGAATGTGTGAGGTGGGTAGTGTTTGTGGGGGATTGTGTGAGGTGGGTAGTGTTTGTGGGGGATTGTGTGAGGGTACACCTGGTAGTGTTTGTGGGGGATTGTGTGAGGTTACACATGTGTAGTGTTTGTGGGGGATTGTGTGAGGTTACACCTGGGTAGTGTTTGTGGGGGATTGTGTGAGGTGGGTAGTGTTTGTGGGGGATTATGTGAGGTTACACCTGGGTAGTGTTTGTTGGGGGATTGTGTGAGGTGGGTAGTGTTTGTGGGGGATTGTGTGAGGTGGGTAGTGTTTGTGGGGGATTGTGTGAGGTTACACCTGGGTAGTGTTTGTTGGGGGATTGTGTGAGGTGGGTAGTGTTTGTGGGGGATTGTGTGAGGTTACACCTGGGTAGTGTTTGTTGGGGGATTGTGTGAGGTGGGTAGTGTTTGTGGGGGATTGTGTGAGGGTAAAATTACAGCTTAGTAACTTTTTTAGTTTAATTTACAAGATAAACAATAACTTTCTGAGGTTAATATACAAGAGAAACAATAACTTTTTGAGGTTAGTTTACAACTAAAACAATAACTGTTTATTAAATTGCCTTCTTTAAAAAACGTCAAAAGAGTGGGGGAAGAGAAGGGGGAGGTCCAGACTTAATTAACGATATGTGGTGTAATAGAACGGTGTGGCCTGGCAATAGAACACTAGGCTGGTAACGTGAAATTCTGAAGTTCGTATCTGGGTTCAAGTCAGTGAAACGTCCCTGAGTCCACCCAGCTCTGATGGGTACCTAACTCACGTTATGGAAGGTAAATTTGGCTGGGCATAGTGCTGACAACACTGTCTCATCATATGCCGAGGTCAATAAACATATAAACTCGCTTCATCTGCCTAATGGAACATTACATCAAAAGAGAAATCTTTACTTTTACTTTACGGTGTATAGTTTTTAACTTTTAAGTTCGATAAATCATAAAGATCAGACACATTTTCTTTAAAATTATAGTTATTTTTGTTAGACAGAGGAGATGATGTGATTTAAATGTCAGAGTTATCTGCCTTTAATTTATGACTAAGTTTGGCTTAGATTGTTTCACTTCATTAATTGACAACCTCCAGTATTGGTTTTCGTTCAAACTTGTTTAATTTTTAAAACAATAATTACACAATCTATTCAACATCTCATGCTTCTTAAAGTTAACCATATTCAAATTAAGTCCTAATGTTTCAATTCGATGCAAATGAATCCAATATCCCATATTTTCTTCCCCAGACTATATGTGAGAGAAAGGTGCGTATGGGTAAAATCGGCGACGGGGGGTGGGAGATTTGTGACGACCCGGACGTTCGCCCCACGGCGCCCTGCATCATCTACTCATACGGGATCCACTACGACTTCTCGTTTGACGACGACGCGGCAAAGGTCTACGGGTGTCACGTGTACTCGTTTGACCCCAGCATGGACAAGATGGCCGATCAGGTCAACAGGTAGAAATTCTCGTGGCTTTATAAAGGTAGAAATAAAGGTGGTTTTGTAAAGGTAGAAATAAAGGTGGTTTTATAAAGGTTGAAATAAAGGTGGTTTTCAAAAAATGTAAAGGTACTTTTTTATAAAGGTAAAAATACAGGTGGTTTTAAAAAAGGTAAATATAAAGATGGTGTAATTAAAAAATAAATATGCTTTTGTTTTACAACAAGCAATCATGCTACTCGGATATTTAATTTAGCTTTCTAAATATAAAAAAATAATAGCAATTCATATTTCATTTAAGTATAAAGAAAAGTTAATTTTAAATTATGAAATAGTTTTAACATAAGTTGATTATTTCCCTTTATTTTGTATTTTTTCAAATGAAGTCGACAATAGACTGTCGTAGATCAGACACATTTGTGAACCTAGAATGTTTACAAGATAAATCCGTAAAATTGTTTAATGACCTCTTCTATCAAGGTCGGATTTCGTCCACTTCTACAAGGTCGGCCTGAGCGGTCAGACGCAGGTTTTACCCAAACACAACTGGAAGCTCTACACCCACGGGGACCTCAGGAAAATGATCGGGCACCAGGACCAGACCATCGACGTCATCAAGATGGACATCGAGGCCCACGAGTGGAACGCGATTCCAGAGATGGCGGCCACTGGTCAGTTGACCCAGGTCAAACAGTTCCTGGTTGAGTTCCATGTCTCGCAGCTGACTCGGGAGTACCTGGTCCCCAAGCTGAAAGCCATGCAGGACTTGGAACTAGCAGGGTTCAAGCGCTTTTATTCACATAAAAATTACGCATGTGGCGGTACAATACCGGGTTTTCCCACAACACGGACACGGTGCTATGAGCTACATTACATACGGAGGTAGAATTCCCGGAAAATATTAATGTGTAGTATTTGAGAAGTCTTTAAGCGTTTAGTGTACACTGTTTAAGTAGCCTACGTATGGGTGCAAGTTTAGTTATAAACCAAAGTTTGGCGTATTTTGTTATAAGTAATGTATTTTTTTAAGTGGATCAGCATGCGTGAGCGTAAGGTGTAACTGATGTTTGAAGATTAAACCATTGTTTCATGTATATTTATTTGATGCTATATTTAGTATTTTATACACACACACACACATACACACACACATATATATATATATATATATATATATATATATATATATATATATATATATATATATATATATATATATATATATATATATATATAAAATTTTTTGTATGTATGTATATATATATATATATATATATATATATATATATATATATATATATATATATATATATATATATATATATATATATATATATATATATATATATATATATATATATATATATATATATATATATATATATATATATATATATATATATATATATATATATATATATAGATATGTATATAGTTACATATCAATTTATATGAATATATATATATATATATATATATATACACATTTATATGTGTATATATATATATATTTATATAGAGAGTTATTTAATATATATATATATATATATATATATATATATATATATATATATATATATATATATATATATATATATATATATAATATATGTATATATATATATATATATATATATATATATATATATATATATATATATATATATATATATATATATATATATACAATTATTTATGTATATATATAAGAGGGTTTATATCTGAACCTTGCAAGGTTGATCTGCTTTATTTAAGAGGTGCCGTTTCGGTCTCGCGTGGGTGTCATTAAAGGGTTAAAATGTGATTTGACATCAAATGTTTTTGATAATGTACTTAATTTACATCGTGAATAAATACTCTATGCTTTTTTTTATTAGTAATTCCTTTTAGATATTTGTTGTCTCACTATGATACTTTAATGGCAAATCATTTTTTTAAACTAGTATTTGTTTTTTTAGACCGAGGTTTAAACGGTTAGAAGATAAGACCACAACCTCAAGCATGGAATGACAGATTTGACAGAAAGAACGACAGACTGACTATATTACCTAAGAAAAAGCGTTCAGTAAAAATATTGTAAAAATAATAAAGCTATTCACTCTGATCCCTACTGGTCCACTATAACTACTGATTGTGATAAAAGATTTACTGATTTGTAAAAGATATCGACAAGTGCAGAATAGCTGCATGACATACAGTCAATTCTTTTTCAAAGGAATTCGGATGAGACGCGAGCTGTTATTTCTGTCCGCGTCAACCCTCTGAACAACCCTCTCTCCCAGCACACCGTTAAACATTCCCCCGCACACCTTTAAACATCCCACACACAGTGTTAAACACACATACACACCGCTTAACATCCCACACCCCGTTAAGCACCTCACACACACACCGTTAAGAACCCCCTCCCACACACACACGCGTTAAGCAACACACACACCGTTAAGTTCCCCCCACAACACACACACCATCCAACAACCCCCCTGCACACACACCGTTAATCACCACCCTACAGACACCTTTAAGCAGCCCCCACCACACGCACACACACACACCGTTAAGACCCACCCCCAAACACACACACCATCCAACATCCCCCCTGCACATACACCGTCAATCACCACCCTACAGAAACCTTTAAGCCCCTCCCCCCTCACACACACACCACACTTAAGCCCCACCCCCACTTGTCAACACCCAGATGTTGTAGCTAATAAAATAACTCGTGGTTATGAGAGAGTTTATCACCAAACTTTTTATAGAGTATAGATTTATTTCGTTAGGCATATGGTGTTGAACTCATATACTAGTAGCTACTCATTAAATAAGAAATTAATTGCTTGATTGTCTATTTTTGCTTTTAACGATGAGAGCTCAATTATTTTTCAAGGAGTTAATTACCTTACAGCCGATTTACAAATCTTTCTTTTATTTAATTAGTCATATTGGCGTCTTCGTCAAGCTGACATTGGGATGTTTAAAACATTTTAAAACAAAGCAGACAAATTGGAAATCGAAGGGTCAAAACATCTTAAACTAGCGATTTAAAAAAAACGAATTATGGTTGTTGATCGATCTATCTATTTAAAGTTTTAAATTAGTAGGCCTATATCATCCAGGGTACGTATAACAAGCAGGGGGATAAATTGGCTAATCATTTTATTATATTATTATAAAGGGTATGATGAGTAGATTATAGTAATGCTAAGCAACAATTAAGATTTCTTTTGCAAGGTTTCTACAATATAAAATTATTGAAAAATAAATTGATACAAATTATGTTTCATTTGTGGTATACTTGGTGAAGAGGTCATTTTAAAACATGAAAATTGATATTTGACAGGTCTTGAAGTTTTTATACCTCCATAAGTCAGAAGTATTTATGTTTGCGATTTTGTTTGTCTGTCCACCTGCCCGTCTATCCGTCTGTCGGTCTGTCTGTCTGTCTGTCTGTCTGTCTGTCTGTCTGCTTGTCTCTCTATATCTCTGTATCTCTGTCTAACTATCTGTCTATCTGTCTGTCGGTCGGTCGGGCGGTCTGTCCGTCAGACTTTCTATCTGTATGTGACCACGATAACTTCAGTAACATTTCAACTAGGTTCATGAAATTACACATATAAATATAAGTACTACATCAAATGTGTAGTCCTGTATCAACTTTTGAAGGATTTCGAGTAATCTGAAGTGGTACTAACTTTACTTCCTGTTCTTAAAAACGTGAATACCGTTTAAGTTAGCCGGACACAAGTTTACATATAAGTATTACGTTGTAAGCGCGTGTTGCTTTTAACTTTTGAACAAATTTCGGTAACCAGATGTGATATGTGACTGTATTTTCGAGAAAAAATTTCATATATACGAATACAATTTTATATTTTACTTCCAACTTTTGAAATACTTCCGATGACCTGAAGTGGTGCTTTATATTCAGTTAGGTAATTTACATTTTCATAAATTGATATAAGGTCTTGTTCTTATGGTACTGTCAAAGTTTAAGTGATTTCCGGTGACCGAAAGTAGTACTTTAAGCCATTTCCGATTTCTGGAAGTGCCATCCTCCTTACTGTCATATAAGTCTTGGGGTTAGCACTCCCGCGTTATTTCTTTTAAACACTAGATTAAGCTTAGCAATCCGTTCTTTTTAAGATATAAAATTTGTTTTCTGTCATTAGATTCCTTAGTTTATTTAAAAAAAATAAGATTCTATAACCAACAAATGTGTCGCTTTAACTATCTGTGTGGTCTATAAGCAATATATGTACATATGCCACACCCATTTGAAATCGTAGCATACAGTCAATGACGGAAATTTCCTATACATTATTAAAGTTTTGGGGTCTTAAAAAACTGAGGTCCCTGGGCTGCTGCCTTGTTAGCCTCTCAATTGATCCGCCACTGGTCTGAAACATAGCGGAGCCCGAAACTCATTCAAATATTTCAATCGGCTAAGAATTAAAACTTTGATTAAAATATTCTAATCTTAATTATCTACCATCTAATCTTAATTATCTACCAATTCTTTACTTTATTTACTTTACCTTGAAGTATGATTCATATTTACAACAAACCGATGCATCTCATATCGTAATCGAGATCCGAACTTAGGGCTCAGAAGATATAGGTAGAGACAGACAACTCTGACTGGTTTCTGAGTTATCCCCCATATCAACATAACAAAGATAACTACTTCAATATTGGCCGGTGTAGTAATCACATCTAATATATAAAGCTCAGTTCTGTATGTAATGCATTTGTATGTCGTTGGAATTGTACGAATTTAAGTGTTAGAAAATTATCGTGCGCATTTGTCTAAATTTATGAGCTAAAAAATTACTATTGAAAGTGTTGGGAAATAATTTTCATTTTTCAAATTATAGTAATAATTTTCGGCATGTTCATTAAACACAAGTTTTTAAAAAAATATCATCTTTTACAAAAATTCTAATTATGTCTTTATTTAGTCCTATAGCACTTACTTCCCTTTGATAAATTAGGAAAAACACAATTACTTCCCTTTATAAAACCATTGCATTCCGTGAAAATAATTTACTTTTTAATTACTTTGTTTTGGTGTTGGGAAAAAAAATAATTACATAATTAGCGGGGATTGATCAAGTGCAAATGTTGTAGGTATTTTACGGATAAGCTTGGAGTATTAAAATTGTTTATTAAATTGAAACAGACGCGTTCGTTTAAGTGAGTGCAAAAGACTGTGAATAAGTTGGGGTACTATAGTCGTTCATTAAGCTAAAACAGGTAATTCCGCCCCGGGCGTTTATGTTCGCGTTAGTGTTTTCTTTGTGTTTAGGTGGGTTTGCGTTAGTGGTTGCGTTTTGATTTGGTTCGTTTTTGTTCTTTCTTTTTTCGTTTTTGTTTGTGTTTTTTTTTTTTTGGTTTGTATTTGTGTTTTTGGTTGGTTTTGCGTTTGGATTTGGTTTGTTTTCGTTTGCTTTTTCGTTTTTTTTTTGTTGGTATTGGTGTTTGTGGTTGGGTTTGTTGTTAGGTTTTTGTTTTCGTTTGCTTTTTTGTTTGTTTTTTCTTTGTGTTTGTATTGGTGGTTGTGGTTGGGTTTGTTGTTAGGTTTTTGTTTTCGATTGTATTTGTAATTGTGTTAGCGTTATGTTTGCGTTTTGTTGTTTTTGGTTGGTTGTGGTTTGGGTGGGCAATGCCGGGTTTATGATGATTACTAAACACACAGGTAATGGTCTTTAACAGAAAGGTTTTTCACAGAAGCCAGAGCAGGGCCTGGCCGGGACGGCTAGTTTTAAATATAAATTTAAAAAATGATAATATCTGATGAATATTAACACAAAGTATAGACAATGAACGTACATTGCCTACAAATTTAAACTATTTTAGAATTCGTTACTTTGGTGCAGTCAGGTATTGAGTGACCTCGTGTTGCCTCACCTGCTTGATATCACGTGTCAGTTGCCTGTGCAGGGGAAGTAAGGTAGGGGAGGTGGCGAGCATAAAACTGGGTGTCACAGCAGGTAGGTGAATGACGTCTGTGACCCCGATCACCCCCTCATGTCACGACCTCAGCTACAGGTGTGTTAAGAAACCAAAATTAAGGAACAAAGAATCAAGGATTTGAACCAGTATATTGTTTTTGTGTGTTCACCCTAACTTCATTCCTTCTTAACAGGTGTGTTAAGAAACCAAAATTAAGAAACAAAAGAATCAAGGATTGGAACCAGTATATTCTTTTTGGACATTTCCCTTGCATCATTCCTATTACATAATATGCGTGTAGTACATACCGATGTTCTGAAAGTATTACAATAAACGAGAAATACATTTTGTACAAAATATACACTTTCTTAAATGGTACATAAAAACAGGTTGATTTCTCCCATCATAGCTTTTATTATACCGAGTAAAACATTTCTTATGGTTTGTTTGTCACCCTGTTATTTCCTCCTCTCTCCACAATAGCTATATCTTAGTGACATTTCTAGGTCGGGTGTCACCTAGTGCGCACCTCTTGATGTCACCCCCACCCCCACCGAATATATATATGGTCTACATAGGCCTATAAATATTGTTGCAATTGGTGTGATCTCTCCCATTTGTCCTAATGGCGTCAATTTTTGCGCACATTTTATTAATTCAACATGTGCGAAAAGAATCGTTTTCATCGTAAATTATTAGATTTCGGTTATTCAAAATACTCAACAAAACCTTTTTTCCTCTGTAAAGTTTGTAGTTTGTTTAACACTCCCCCCTCCCCCATATATATATGGGTGATAGTTTTAAAGTGTTTATCTATAGTCAGTTATTAATATAGGTGAATTAACTCTAATTAATCATTAATAGAACTGGCAAAAAGCATATTTCTTCTATAAATTTTGCAACTTTCGCCATGGCGTCAACCCTCTAAATGGTGCGATCCGCCCCCCCCCCCCCGCCCCCGCCTCGCGACGCCTCTGCTATATCTAAATAGCATATATATATATATATATATATATATATATATATATATATATATATATATATATATATATATATATATATATATATATATGTATAATATGGCTGAGGGCGATTGCGTGTGTACATGTGTGTGTGTGTGTGTTTATCTACGTTTGTATAATTCGCTAAAATCCATCTTTGTGGAACTAATTGCAATGTAAATAACGACCAATAAGTAACTTAAACATGGCTCAAAAACAAATACATTAAATGACCATTGTACAAAGGTTTAAATGTAAACAATTTAAAAACAAAGTTTACACATGTTTCTATTGATTTTGTTTTTACATTTGACCTGCAGATTGCTACTACAAAAGCATTTCAGTATGTTAATGTTGTTTTGTAGTTGTAATTTGTCTTAGTGTTATATTTTAGTGTGGGGAATCTTGTGGCTGTGTTGTACATTACACAGATCTCATGCAGATGGACTGTGTTCGAATCTCGCCGATGCAATACGTTAGGGTAATATTTTAGTCAATAGTAAATGTTCGTTAGGTAATCTTCTTGGAATAAATGCGTATCAAAATGTATTGTTTGATAGGAAATTTCTAAGACATGTAATATTGGCACTTGAATGTAACTTTCATCCAGGTAGTATAAATTTATTGAAACATACAAGTAGAGAGCTGATAAGAGTTGATAAATGATGTGGGGACAGAAATACGACAGCCCAGTGTCCAGGCATGGATGAATATGACAACAGAGTGGAAGAAGAAGACAACAGAGTTGAAAAATGTGGTGATGCAGACCTAATCACTCAATACTATGTTGGGACACATATATAATAAATAAATGGCTAACAAAATTCAAATTTTCTAAGTTATGTAACTTTATATAGAATCTATATAGTTAAATAAATTACACGTGAATGTAACAACGATTTCATAATATCAAGCCATCTTAGATTTTAGAATATAACGTTATCTTTTCTATATATTTTAAAACTCTAAATTAGTAAAAACAAAAAAGTTAGCGATTTATCTCCTATTTTTTTTTACTGAGTCTAGAAGGATCTGGTTTCTTTTAAAGCCACCCCCAAGGCCAGCTCAACCCGTATACTAGAGGGCCATTGTCACAAAGTTTTAGAGTCGTATTTTTTCATTGCACCTTCCTCATTCGCTTACATTTGGCAACTTTGGTTCGGCCTAAGATCGAACTTTTTAAATTTGCTGATTTGGATTACAGAACATTGTTCATTACTCTTACGAGATAATATGTGAGTTAACACAAAAATCCTTTTCAATAATATGTGTTTTTGTAAAATTGATAATTTGCAATATTGTGACGAAATGTGCTGGCAAGGCAAAATAAAACTAAGCAGTTTAATATTTTGAAACAACTGAATATATATATATATATATATATATATATATATATATATATATATATATATATATATATATATATATATTAACATACACATAAATACGCATATACTCAGTCACACCAACATATAATTATATATATATATATATATATATATATATATATATATATATATATATATATATATATATATATATATATATATACATATATACATCTGAATATATATATCTATATATATATATATATATATATATATATATATATATATATATATATATATATATATATATATTAAATATAGTCAGTTACTTCCCATTTGTTCTCTGCTTGAAGACAATTAAGTTTTTAATTACCCACCATTAAACCTGACAGCAGATCTCCCAGCCCCACCACAATACCCCCACAATGAAGGAGGGCATACATGCACACAGCTCAATGTCGCGTTGATTCTAAATATCATCAAAGCCACTGGGTTATTAACAGGTTTAATTTTTACCATGTTGTATTGGATGTAGTGTTGAGGTTCTCTAAAATACTTGACTAGATGCGACATCAGAAAATTCACAGCTACTGAAAACTTGTGCCATTGAGGTTAGTTACAATATAAGTACTATATAATTGTTTTTTTTTATAAAACCATAGGTAGACATAATGCAATTAATACATTGTGTTTTATGAAAATATATTTAAAAAATCATACTTCGTCTGCCCTATAGTGGACCTACTCAACTAAGATTTATTTTATTTTTATTTTTCGTTATATTTTTTACAAATTATGTTAAATTTGTTTAAATTTAATGTAATATATTGCAAAATTGTATTATAAACTTAAATTGGGGTTTATGTTTTTGAGAAACATTGTTGAGGTAACGTGTGCAATCTAATGTATCAGGCGTATCAAGGTGTGTCTTGTGTGGATTTAAACAGGGTATCACATGACTCGTCATAAGAACGGACTTAGAGTACTGTATACCGCCTTTGTTGCTTGTACCGCATTCAAAATTAAATTATTGGCCAGGAACTTATTGTTAAGAGTAGGCCTAAATTATAGGTATGATAAATTAAATAATACATATTTAATACATATTATTTAATACATATTTTAAAAATAAAACACTGTGCTATTCAACAAACGACAGGAGCGACAAAAATGTCGCGGTTTCAACTTTTTCTTCGCCGCTTGAATATCCGAGTGTGTCTGATTGTCGTCGTGTGCGGTGTGGTCGCCATTTTTCTTCTCATGCCGAAAATCGCAAGTTGGGCGCTGACCACGATGGACATACCAGACACCCAGCAGAGTAAGTATTTTGGTCTCGTTGTTTGGTTGTACTACCATCTTTGGTCTCGTTGTTTGGTTGTACTACCATCTTTGGTCTCATTGTTTGGTTGTACTACCATCTTTGGTCTCGTTGTTTGGTTATACTACCATCTTTGGTCTCGTTGTTTGGTTATACTACCATCTTTGGTCCCATCTTTGATTGCAGCACCATCTTAGGTACCCATGTTTGGTTGTAGCACCATCTTTGGTCCCATTGTTTAGTTGTAGCACCATCTTTGGTTGTAGCACCATCTTTGGTTGTAGCACCATCTTTGGTTGTAGCACCATCTTTGGTCCCATTGTTTAGTTGTAGCACCATCTTTAGTTGTAGCACCATCTTTGGTTGTAGCACCATCTTTGGTTGAAGCACCATCTTTGGTCCCATTGTTTAGTTGTAGCACCATCTTTGGTTGTAGCACCATCTTTGATTGTAGCACCATCTTTGGTCCCATTGTTTAGTTGTAGCACCATCTTTGGTTGTAGCACCATGTTTGGTCACATCATTTTTTTGTGTAGCTTCATCTTAAGGACCATGCACGGAATATTTAACACTAAAGCACATACATACCCAGTCTTTCCCACATTACTTCTAGTCTTTTCGGGAATTATTTTTTTACGGGGAGCTGTTGCAACTTGCACAGGGGAGTGGGGGTGGGGACAATTACAATTTTTGGAGTATGGTAACATGTTAAAGAATGTGTTAAAGAATATATTTTACTCTTTTTTTTTTGGGGGGGGGGGGGTGGCTGACATGCTCCAAGGTGCAGTGCCCCCCTCCCTCCCGAATAGCTACATCCTTAGGCCGCAACATTTCTGTGAGACAACCATCAATACCAACGCACAATTTGTTTAATTTTAAATAAATATTAAAATTAATTTTTTTTTAACTTTTATTAAAAATTAACTGTAATATCTTGCATTACGATAACAGAAAAAAAATAATAATAAGAGTGATCTGCTTATATATTCATTCAACCATTGAAAATTTCATAAAACAAAATTTATACGAATTGTAACAAACATTTCATTTACCACAATGACCATAATATTATCTATTACAACATGATAAAATAAACATCCGGTATCGCATTCGGATAAGATGTAAAGTGCACGATCCGTTCTAAAGTTGCAAACCGTTATTTTTTTAACAAAAAAAAGACTTTCTGTGTAATAATATATGGGTGTAATAATATATGTTTACGTGTGCTTTGTTGCATCATAAAATGGTTTGTGTTTATATGCAGGTGAACTTAGGGAATTTTGACAAAGGAGAAGGGAGTGGCAATTTAAAGAAGATTTTTTTTAATCAAGTCTTATAAAAATGAAGTATTAGTTTATTTATTATTTCGTTTAATTCGTTACATTAAATTTTAATCGTGTTGAGTTAAAACTAGTATAGAATAAGCTTAGGTAGAAGTTTAAATTTACGAGAGTGGAAAATGTGGGACGTGTGGGTTGGACGGGGGCAGTGTTTCTTCCAGACTTTTTTCTCCGGGGGGGGGGGGGGGGAAGCGGACTAAAATTTCCGAGGGGGCGGACACTGTTTAAAGTATATATTTTCTATATAAATTCCATTTCGTTCGGGGGTGGGCGCGGTAGACTTTCTTCGGGGGGGGGGTCCCACTCCCCCTGAAAAGATGCCTGGAAGAAACTCTGGGCGGGGGATGGGTGGGGATCACCTAATTACATTGACCTATGTTTGTAAACAGAGTGGAGGATTATTCTTGTTCGCTGTTAATTGTGTTTATTTTACCCATACATCAACATTCGTTAAAACAAAGTGATGGATTTCTTTATAACTTCTAATAGTTTTTTCTAACATAGGCTGATTATTTATATAAACACATTTCCAGTTCTAAAATTAATACGTGATTTTAAATATGTATGTAAAAACACCATACTTACACTAAAGTACAATTAAAAAGGGAATTTTATACCTGTTTAGCTACGGCACTTGGGATAGAACTTGGGATAGGGTGTGGATTAGTACAAAGGTTTAGTACCAAGGTTATAGCTTGAGTAAAGTTAGCCAAAACATTTCTTTGATAAATAAACTGAGGGCGTTTTGTTTTATTAATGTAGGCTACAACAAATGCGTGACGTATAAAATGCTACAATATAAGAATATGCTAAATATACTTAATATACCATTGCAGAAGAATGTAGTGAATATGCATCATACACATTCACATAATTTGATTAATATGTTACTACTTTGGAATATACTAAATATACTCAAGATGATACTACATAAGAATGTACTGATTATGTTAATATTAGATGTACCCAGTGGCGTAGCGAGGTCGGGTGTTACCCGGTGCGGCACTTAATGGTGTCACCTCCCAGAGGCGTAGCGACCCTTCCCGGGGACAAACTTTCAAATTTTCGATTTGCAACCCCCCCCCCTCAAGTTTTTCTCTATATATTTTGCTATTTTTTGCCTTGGTGTCACCCCCCTAAATGGTGTCACCCGGTGCGGTCCGCACCCCCCCCCCCCGCCCCCCCCTCCCCTCGCTACGCCTCTGGATGTACCGAATACTTAATTCGCTACTACATACAAAATCAGCTTTTATTTCTTTATTTCTTTCTTTGTTTGTTTGTTTGTTTTCATGTGGCTGACACCAAAAAAACTGTTTGCTCTTGTTTAGGACAGTTGAGAAATCTGCGAGACCGTGGTCACGTGACCAATCTGGCGGCCTTAGACCTGAGCCTGATGACTGACGAGGAACTGCTGCTCACCGTCCACAGCTACCCAGACAACACTAACGTAAGAGCAGCCGTTTAACTACTCGCACGCTGTACATTGTTATCAAAAGATATGCCAAACTCCGTTTTAAAAACTAAATGAAAAACAAATGTAAAAGTAACTGTTTAATTTATCGAACTGTGTACATTGTTACTTAAAGATACGATAAGTTATTTTTTTTTAAAACGCAATTTAATACAAATGTAAGAGAAATCGTTTAGTTAATCGCACGGTTAATGTTAATTAACGGTTATGTAATGCATGTTTCTGCTAAGCCGTAGCTTGTTATAAGACGTTAGCGATGTTAATGTTTTTTTTCCAGGCATCTCTTCGGTGGAGGGTGGAAGGCTCCCCTCCCCCCGAACGAAATTAAATTTATATTGAAAACATATACTTTTTCTAGTGTCCCCCCCCCCCCCGGGAAAATATTGTCATGCCCCCCCCCCCCCTCCCCCCGGATAAAAAAGTCTGAAAGTAACACTTCTAAATATGAGTTGGAAAAAAAAGAATAATTATGTTTTCTATTAATTTATTTAGTCAATGGTAATTAGTCAATACATAGAGAGTGGGGTGTGTGTGGGTGGAGGGGGGCCTTGTGCAACACTACTCCTTGGTCTCTGGTTTAAAGAGGTACTGGCCAAGAGAATATTATTATTCAAACTCCTAGTCTGCACAGCACACATTATGTAGTCGACTTGACTTGGTATTGTAGTATCATCCGTGTTGACAAACCTTATATTAATGGTAGCGAAAGTTATTTTTTGTGGGGAATTATTAATCTATTTTCCCCTATTTTCTTTGCTCACGGTTTTTCAGACATATAACTGTGGGAGGGGTAGAGGGGAGAAAGGCACTTGAAACTTCCCTGGGGGTGGGGGCGGACACTGATTAAAGTTTATATTTTCTATATAAATGAAATACGCATTTTATATCTCTCGGGGAAGGGGCGGTTACTGCTGTTATTGTTATCGTGTAGAACGTAACTTGATGTATGTGTAAAACGTCACTTTAACACGCTGTCGTCCTATGGGATTGATGAGCCTGAAAGGGGCGGGGGGGGGTCGCTATCCAGGCAAGCCTAGACATTCGGCAGTAAATAATCGCATAAAATCAATGCATTGAAGAAAACGCAACACACTGGATACGTGGCCAACTATAGAATAAAAAATATATTCGCCTTTTAAAGATATAGGCGCAGTACTACGATACACCTCAAATTTAAAAAGTAGTTTTAATTTTTTAGTTTTATAGTGGAGGAAGTTAACATTTGTGTGTTTACTGACTTGGTTTGTGCTTTGTGGTTGCGTGCATGTATGTGTGTTACAGTGAGTGTTGTGTGTGTTTGTGTACCTCTGAGTGGGCCAATGTGTGTCTGCGCGTGTGTATGTATGTGTGTGTGTAACATTGAGTGTTGTGTATGTTTGTGTGTGTGTGTAACAGTGAGTGTTGTGTATGTTTGTGTACTTCTGAGTGCGCCAATGTGTGTCTGCGCGTGTGTATGTATGTGTGTGTGTAACAGTGAGTGTTGTGTATGTTTGTGTACTTCTGAGTAGGCCAATGTGTGTCTGTGTGTGTGTATGTATGTGTGCCTGAGTTTTTGCACTGTTGAATGTGTGAGTGTGTGTGTATGTGTTTACGTAATGTAAATGTATATGATGAATGTACGTATCTACCTAGTGACAATATATGAATGTGTCTATGTGTATGTGCACGCGTGTCTGCGTGTGTATGTTGGTAGTCTATGCATAAAGTATATGTATATGACGGATTTATGCTTATACTGACGGACAGTATGTGAGAAAATGTGTTTATGTGTATGTGCCCGCGTGTGTAGTCTATGTAGGCCAATATGACGTATTTCTGTCTATATGACAGACAATATATCAGAGTATGGGTTTATGTATGTGTGCCCGCGTGTGCTTGTGGTGTATATACATATATATATATATATATATATATATATATATATATATATATATATATATATATATATATATATATATGTATATTACGTATAAGTGTCTATACCGACAGACAATATGTGAGAGAATGTGTGTATGTGCGTGCTGTATGCATTTGTATATAACATATGTGTATCTCTACCAACAGACAATATGCGAAAGAAAACTACGAATGGGGAACCTTGAAGACGGAGGCTGGGAGATATGTGACGACAAAGATGTCCGCCCCACCCCACCCTGCACAATCTACTCATTCGGCATCAACTACGACTTCTCGTTCGATGACGACGCCGCAAGATATTACGGCTGCCATGTTTTTTCTTTTGATCCAAGCATGGGCATTGCTCCAGATCGATTTAACAGGTTCGCTGATTGTTTATTTTCTCGTGTTTTTTTTTTCTTTCTAATTTTCCACAGGCTCTGCGCTTTAGATTCAATCGAATTTAAACTAGTTCTGTTATCCTATTACAACTTCTCGGAATTATTAATAATTATCTCGATGGTAATAGATATTTTAAGAACCTGTTGTAGATTGACATAAAACTGTCTTAGGACTTTTGTTTTGTCTTACTTAGCACAAAATCAGAGGCGTGTTGATGGGGGTGGAGGCGGGGGGTGCGCCGAACCTAGGGGCGCCAAAATAAGCTCATTTTAGCTGCTATTTTGAATTATAAATATAAAATATATAATATATAAATTGAAAGTTTGAACCTGGGCGCCGGGAGGGGTCACTACGCATCTGCACAATATCGAATCGTTTGGTGAATTAATAAACACATTTCTTATTTAATTATTTAGCATAATTATTTTTTATTTTATTTTCAAACATATTGTACATTAATTACTTCGCGAGGGAGAAATGTAAAAAAAAAAATCAGTTATAGTATAGTGTGGGTCTTGTTTTGTGCTGTAGATTAATATTCACACAATCCTTAATACTAAAAATATTCAAAGATTTATATAGTTAGCAAAGATTTAACAATACAGTTCAATGGACTTTATAATTGTTAAACTATACATGTTTATAACCTAACAAATATTGTACTATGCCATCAACAGATCTTCCCACATTCACTTCTACAAGTTGGGAATTTCTCACCAAAACGTCATTGACTCCAAAGGGTGGGAGCTGAAAACTTTTTCAGCACTAAAACAACTGCTTGGACACAGGGACAATTTGATCCAAGTTGTCAAGATGGACATCGAACAAGCGGAGTGGAAGACCATTGAAGAGATGAGCCAATCTGGACAGTTGGCCACCATCGGCCAGTTTTTGGTCGAGTTTCACGTGGTCAGCGATAGCCGGGACTACTTGTTGCCGAGGTTAAAGGTCATGCAGATACTGGAGAGAGCGGGGTTTAAGAAGTTTTACGTGCACAAGAACACGTATTGTGGGACGTTAGTGCGGGGGTTTCCTGCTACAAGAACGGAATGTTACGAAGTTCACTATGTCCGTAGATGATCGGCAATAGTGAACGGAATGTTACGAAGTTCACTATGTCCGTAGATGATCGGCAATAGTGAACGGAATGTTACGAAGTTCACTATGTCCGTAGATGATCGGCAATAGTGAACGGAATGTTACGAAGTTCACTATGTCCGTAGATGATCGGCAATAGTGAACGGAATGTTACGAAGTTCACTATGTCCGTAGATAATCGGCACAAGTGAACGGAATGTTACGAAGTTCACTATGTCTGTAGATAATCGGCAACGTTGGCGGATCACATTGGGGTGGGTGACTCAATTGGAGAATGGGGTGGGGTACGGTGGGGGTGGGGGAATGTTCGCATGTTCTTAGAAAAAATTACGCCATTGGCAATACACGTTGCAGGGGGGGGGGGAGGTTAATGTTTACTATGTCCATAGAAAAATTATTTTGCCCTACACATTTAGTTTGGGGGGGGGGGGGGGGGCGAGGGATGAGTTTAGAATGAGTTCGCTATGTGCATACACCTTCGACGGATCCCAGGGGTGTGTGAGAAAAATGGGGGTGGGGGGGGGGATTTTCACAACGATCAAAGAAGTTTCACACCTTTTGTGGAATAACAATAATAACAAGCATTCGAGAGTTCTAAATGTGTGCACTATGCTTCTAGATATCATACACCGTTGGTAGAACACAGGAGCTTTGAGGAAGTGTGGGGGAGAAGCGTTAGAAGTGTTTCCAATGTTCATAGTAGCTGTTTTTAGTGATAGAAAATAGGATTGATGAAAAAAACGATAGCATAATAGGATCGTAACAATTATTTTTTTCAAAGCATGAAGTGTTTAAAGAACCAATTTTCCTATACAATTAAATAAATGGACTTGTAATTTTGCTCCTACATGCAGATGTGGTTTTAATGTCCGCGATTTGTTTGTTCAATAACGGTAATAGTTTTTCAACTATTTGCAATTCTTCTCACCAAACAATATTTTTGCTGGTATGTGAAGTCAAGAGACAATCTATGTTCGTGTTTTTGTGCTTAGTGTACGATCAACAAGAATATTTTAGTCAGTTTTATTGGGAAGCGTGAACGATGACGGATGTTACAGCGTTACAACAAATTTCAAACTAAAACGCTAAATATGTTTAAAGAACTTTAATTTGGCATACAAGCCCCCACAGAACCATAGAGCAATACTTCCAAAACTATAAGGTAGTTGAAAACAAATGTAAAAATCATGCCTAAGTGGTTGTGAGGCGGGGGGGGGGGGGGGGGGAGAGGCGAATCATCTTATTCGACGATGTAAAGCCTCCATCCTGTCAGTAGGTAAGATTGATCTAGGATAGGTTTTGTATAATTTTTTTTTACTGAGATGCTTACCAAACTTACCCGTTTCATTGTTGATCTGGGTGTGTTGACAAAATTTACATCAATTTAATCTGCAGCAGATATTTTGAAAATCGGTTCCCCTTTTATATGCTAAAATTTTTATTTGTATTGTATTTTTAGATGTAGTACGAAGGTCAAATGTTAAACTGATAATTTAAACTGCAGAATGTTAAATTTTTAATGTAAATGTATTTGTTGTATTTTGAATATTCAAACATAGCCTATGTTAATTTTATAGGCTATTTTTTAAATTTGTGTACATATCCTTTGTACGATATATTATTTTATATTTTACATTTTTAATTGTTAAATGATAAGTTTAATGCATTATATTTATGGGCGCTAGTTTGTGTGTAAATCACAAACGCACGTTCAATATATTGTGTGCGTCTGATTGACGGTGTTGTTTTCAAGTCATTAAAGATATATTTTTTTCCAATAATCTATTCAAATTAGCCTACGTGTTCCTAATGTCTTTGTCATTGTGTTAAAGCAATAACTTCAGAAATCCATTGCGATCTAAAACTAATTCGAGAAAAAAAAAATAAAGCTGTTTTGGTTTATTTTAGAACATTAGCTGGTTGTCACACAAAACATTTCAACTTAGCCTTCATGTTAAATAACGTGCTTTGTTTTCCTTTCTAATTCTCTTTCTCTCGGAAAAGCTTTTTTTGTTGTTGTTGTATTCGTCTAATAATTGGGGACAGGGCATGTGGAGAGGGTGCTTTTTTTTCCAAAGAGATGTGTGGTGGTGGAAAGGGGATGTGGGGGGAATATGTCAAGATGAAATGTGGGAAAGGGTGGTGTGGGGAATATGTCGAGATGATATTTAGGGAATATTTCGAGATAAAAATGTGGGTCAGATGATGTGTAGGGAAGGTAGGTGTGGGGAAATATCTGGAGATGTGTAGGCAAAGATGTATGTTGAAGAGAAACTGTGCGAAAACAATGTTGTATCTCACAACGGAGTGGTCGAATGGTATATCCCACCACTGCTTATCCGAAAGTCTCGAGTTAGGATTCCGAGCTCGAGTCTATAAGTCGTCCCTGATGGGTACCTGACTCATGTGATAGATTGTAATCACTGACGAGAAGCCGCGTTGGTTGTTAACAGTCTTTATTTACAGCCATGAAGGAAAAAGGAAGGAAGTACGATATACAAGGGACATCACTCAAGATAACAATATAAATATAATACTAATACAGAAGAGTGAGTTCCCTTGACCTCACAATTATCTCAATCTATTACATCCCTTTACCCTTAGAACACAATAACACATCTCTCAATAGAACAATTGATAGTATCCTAAAAATCACCAAATATATTGTAACATGAACATTATGGTAGATTACATCCTTACAAACAATGCACAATATGTTACAACACAATTAAAATACAAACAGTGATGTCAAAGTCCTTTTGACCTTTAAAATCATAGGTCTAACTTATTTGGGACTTTGATTGTCCTGCTTGACCTTCTCAGTGGCTTTTGATTTGGTGACTCAAGATTCTGACCATATGGATTCTCTATCTCAGGAGGTCTAGGATTTAAATCATTAACTCCAGAATTTACATTTTCTGACTCTAGACAACTTGGTTCACTCATATCAACAGAACTTGGTTGTGGAACAAACTGAGTTGGTGTAAACTGTTCAAATTTGGTGGGATTGACAGATTCACACTTATTATCTGCACAAGTTATTTTTAACTGGTCTGCATGTCTACGGACAATAAGTCCATCATTTGTTTTTACTTTATAAGACACAGGTCCTGTACATTGAACAATTTGACCTGGTATCCATTTTTCCCTTCTCCCATAATTTCTTAGATACACATTCTCATTAACACCAAATTCTCTTTCAATGGATGATTTGTCATGATTTACTTTTTGTGTATGTTGATGTTGGGAAACAGACCTTTGAACAGTTGGATGTAGTAGGTCAAGATGAGTTTTAATTTTCCTACCACATAGCAATTCGCATGGTGCAACATCTGTTGTTATATGAGGAGTTGTGCGGTATTTGGCTAATAACCTGTTTACTCTTTCATTGTCACATTTAGCTTCTTCTGTTTGGTATTTACTTTTGATGTTACCCTTTTAGTTTCTGTAAGTGCTAATGATGTTAGCAAAGTTGTTTGATGATCACATTCCTTCTTACTAATGTATTTTCTTTAAAAGCATTTGAAATTGCCATATCACCATAATCATTTATTAAGTTACAAATACTTTGTTTAGGCAACTCTGACTGATAATGGACTGCATCTTCTCCATCTTTTATATTATTTTCACAAAGGTTTTTATTTCTTATTTAATATGGCCTTAAGTCATCATTCACAGACTCTTCAGGCCAACCATTCTTACAGTACTCATATACTTTTATTAAGCACTCATCTTTTTGTGTTTCTCTTTTAATATCATTCACATTTATATTGGAGTTATCCATGATAGTGAAGAGAACAAATACATCTTCTGGTACATAGCTCAGGCTTTGGTTTTTTAAAGGTAATCTACTAAGACTATCTGCACTATTCTCAGATCCAGGTTTGTATTTCAATTCATAATTGTATGCAGTTAGTGTGATAGTCCATCTTTGAATTCTTGGTGAGGCATGCTCAGGTAGGGTTTTGTTTTCTCCAAATAAACCTAGCAATGGTTTATGATCTGTAAAGATGGTGAACTTCCTACCAAACAGAAACTTATGAAATTTCTTAACACCAAAAATGATGCCTAAGCCTTCCCTATCTAACTGAGAATAATTTTTCTCAGCCTGGTTCAAAGATCTACTGGCAAAAGCAATGGGTCTGTCACCCTTCTTATCCATGTGGGACAAGACTGCTCCTACACCATCTGGTGAAGCATCACATGTTAATATAAGTCTTTTCCCTGGGTCATAGTGAGTTAGTAAGGTGTCAGCAGACAAAGCCTCTTTTGCTGTATTAAAAGCAGCTTCTTGTTGTTTACCCCAGTGCCAAGTTGCATTTTTCTGTAGCAGCTTGTACAGTGGTGATAGTTTACCAGACAGATTCCCTATGAACTTTGCATAGTAATTTATCAAGCCCAAAAAAGCTCTTAGTTGTTGGGTATTTTCAGGTTTGGGTGCTTCTTTAATGGCTTTTGTTTTCTCAGGTTGAGGTCTGAGACCTTGCTTGCTTAATATATAACCAAGAAAACTAATTTCTGTCATCATGAATTGACATTTATCTTTGTTTATCTTTAAACCTTTTTTCACCAACTATTTTCAACACTTTATCTAGTGTTTTAAGATGTTCAGTGTCATTCTTACCAGTTATGTACACATTGTCAAAGTAAACACAAACATTTGGAATATCCTTAAAAATACTGTCCATGACAGCTTGGAAAATTCCAGGGCTAGATGATATGCCAAAACATAGTCTTTCATATTGGTAGAGTCCTTTATGTGTGTTTATTGTCGTATAGACTTTTGAATCTGGATGCAGTTCTAGTTGAGTGTAAGCATGACTAAAGTCTAATTCAGTGAATTTGTCTCCTCCTGCCAAATTCAAAGAAATTTCCTCAATGTTAGGTATAGGGTACCTATTTAGCTCTATTTGCTTATTCAGTGTAGTTTTATAATCTCCACAAATTCTTATAGAACCATCCTTCTTTAACACTGGCACAATGGGCGTTGCCCAATCGGAATAGTCTACCTTCTTTATGATGCCATTAGATTCCAATCTACTTAGCTCATTTTCAATTTTGTTCCTCATTGCATAAGGTGGAACTCTAGCCTTGCAGTATCTTGGATTTGTGTCTTTAATGCTTAACTTCACTGTTCTATCATTTAGTAAACCTGAATTGCCAAAAACACTTTTATTTTCAGATATTACTTTATCTAGCGAAGTAAGACTAGATTCTTTTGCATTGGTCAATGAACAAATACTCTCCCAATTTAACTTAAGATTTCTTAACCAGTTCCTACCTAGTAATGGTGGTCCATTTCCTTCAACCACAAGAAGAGGAAGTTTAACACTTTGACCATTATAACTTACATGAACCATACACTCTCCTATTACCGGAACATTGTCACCAGTGTATGTTGTTAGACACTTGTGACATGGTTGTAGAGGCACTGATCCTCCTGTGGCAGCGTCAAAATATTTCTTTGTTATGACTGTTAGAGATGCTCCAGTGTCAAGTTGGAAGCTGATGCTCTTACCGTTGATATTAACTTGTACATTGATGGGAGCATGACTTATTGATTTCACAGAGAACAGGCTGAAATCCGGCTGCGAATCAGTTTGAGTATTTTCACTGGTAGAGTGGTTCATTGGTTGGGTTAGGTAGTCTTGGTGAGAGTTAACATAGTGCTGCCTTTGGTTGCGGTACTGTCTTGACTGGCTAGATTTAGCAACAGACGAAGACTTTGCAAAGCAGGCCTTGGCAATGTGACCTTGCTTACTGCACTTATAACAAGTTGCTAACTTGAACTTGCACCGATGAGATGCATGGGGACCTTTGCATCGATGACATTTTTGATAATTATTACTAGATTTAGATCTAGGATTTGAACGTGCAGGCTGTTTAGCATAAATTGGAATGCTCTGATGGGGTTGGTGTTTGTTGACTAACCTGCTGTTTACTGCATGGATCTCTGAAGGCGTTAGAGATTTCGCCGCCTCGGATGACTGCTGGAATGAAGTTGCAAGTTGTATTGCTTTTTCTAATGTTAGATCTGACTCGAGCAGCAACTTTCTTTGAACATCAGGGCTGTTTACACCTGTCACAAACTTTTCACATAGTCTGTCAGACAGCGTGTCTCCGAATTCACAAAATTCACTTAAATGACGTAAAGCAGCAACATATTCTGATATTGACTCGTTTGGTTGACGAGTCCTACCGTCAAATCTAGCTCGACATAAAAACTTTGATGGGGTAGGCGCATGGTGGTCTGTTAGCAATTTGCTCAGCTCGTTAAAGCTCTTGGTAGTTAGACTAGCTGGTGCGCATAAGTCCTTTAGTAGCCTAAATTGTTGAGGCCCTATGACTGTTAACAAAACAGCTCTCTTTTTGGCTTCTATCGTCACGTCGTTTGCTTCAAGGTAAAAGCTTAACCTATCTAGGTAATCCTGAATGATTTCATCATTCGAATCAAATTCTTTTATTTGGCCATACAGCGCCATTATTCTAGAAATACTTAGCCAATAAGCTCTAGCAAACCTCTTTTTTGCGTAAGTAGGTGCTCTTTCTAGTAGATTTTTATCCTCGTCGCCAAAATGTGATAGATTGTAATCACTGACGAGAAGCCGCGTTGGTTGTTAACAGTCTTTATTTACAGCCATGAAGGAAAAAGGAAGGAAGTACGATATACAAGGGACATCACTCAAGATAACAATATAAATATAATACTAATACAGAAGAGTGAGTTCCCTTGACCTCACAATTATCTCAATCTATTACAACTCAGGTAGGGAACCAAAGGCAGTTAGGCTTTGTGCTGACCACACTATCCCTTCATATGTCGAGGTGATTGAAACAAATTAATTCTACTTCATCTGCTCCATGTGTCTTGTGTAAAAGAAAACGATGTCATCACATTGATAATTAAAATGAATACGAGACTAACAACATAAATGAAAGATTGGATCTAATTAACAGAGCCACAACAACTGGAAGACTTTGCCGGTATTTGTCTCCTTTACACATAATCAAATGTAGGAACATAGAGAACCAATAGAGAACCACTACTAGTCAATATCAGTCAAACAAACAAGAACAGATGCAGTGTTTCTTCCAGACTTTTTTCTCCGGGGGGGGGGGGGGGGGGAATTATACGTACGTGTTTTACTTATTCTTGAAGCATCAAATACTTTAAACGTGAATTAGGTTCAGATACAATATATTAGGTGGAGGAAGGGGGTATGTATATAGGTTTACCTTAACCATGACAGCAAAAGCGATATCGATATAAACAAAGCCTCTTACATCAATGTATTATTTAAACGGCTGTATCTATAAAGTTTTTCGTGCTGATATAACCATCAAAACCTTAGCTCTGATCATTGAATAAATTATAATGTCTCTTATATTAGTTTAACCATTGCACCTAAACTAGCAGCAAAATCGGCAAGTTTTTTTTTAAATACTATTATTCTAAAGGATAACATTACTATTATAAAATTAGCATTATCAGGCTACTATTGCTAGTATTAGTGGTGATTGGATAAACCAGTAATTTGCAGGTCTACTTCAACTGTTTGTTGACTCCCAGTCGTTGTTCTACACATTGATTATTTCAAGCTCGACAACTGTAATGGGTTAACAAACATTAACTTATCGTTTACTCACTAAACACATTGTCCGCTGATCGCGTAAACCCACTTCACCATTATTCAACAACACAAAAACATTTCCATTTACAACATGGCCGATGGCCTATCCACCTATGTCACGGAATAACTTGACCGAAAGTGGAAAGAAGGCAGTCGACCATATTAGAATCTAACAGTGTTTCTTTTAGACTTTTCTGCGGAGGGGGGGGGGGGGCTTGACTAGTAAAAGTATATATATTTTTCTAAATATTTTCTAAATAAATTCAATTTCGTTCAAGGGGTAGACTTTCTTCCCCCCCCCCCTCTCCCCCACACCCGAAGACATGCCTGAAAGAAACTCTGAAATCTATCTACACTCTGATAACCTTCACAGCATCTCAAACTTTGCTCGACAAAGCACTAACATACTAGATCTATATAATGCTCAAATATAAAATCGATACCTTCAAAAATGTGTCAAAACTTTAATTATCACCAATCTCTTCAAACGCCGTAAAAGCGTTAATAAGGATTTTTTTTTTCTTACCATGAAAATCACACCACTCAACATCCATAGTTAAGACCAGTAGGCTTGCAATAAGGGTTCGTCCATATATAACGTCACACTCGTAGGGGGGGAGGGGGTCCGTAATTTTGTGACGGTGTGTGATGAGATGGAGGGGGGGGGGGTCAGATGGTATGACGTTACACTTTTGCATTATAAAACAGCACTGTTAGAAAACGAATTTTAGCCGTTTTTTTTCGCGTTTTAGAAAACTGTTTTAATAAATTGTAATGGGAATTGATTAAAATTCTCTATGTTAACAGAGTTCAGACAAGATTTTGGAAAAAATGTCGTATTTTAAGAAAAATTCAACTGCAATTTGAGGGGGATTGTAGGCTGAGGTATGACGTCATTTTAGGGAGGGGGGTCTGGCTTTTTGTGACGGAGGAGAGGGGGGAGGTAAAATTCATCCAAAAAAGCGTGACGTCATTTATGGATGACACCTACATTGATAAAGCAAAATAATCTTACTATTTTTATTTAACTGATTGGAAAATACAAAATGAATCAAAATATTTTAAAATATACTTCCCCAATTTGAAACCACTTACAAAATTCATTTCAGAACAGTTCTATTTTACCTACACCTACATTAAAATAATTTTGAAATATGAATAGTAAATTTTTTTTTCTTGTGTAATACTACGTAAACAGTTAGCCAGTGGTGTCACGAGGTTGAGTGACACCCGTGCAGTAAATTAGTGTGTTGCCCCCCCCCCCCCCCCCCCCCCCCCCCACTTTCTTGCCAATGATTACATGTATGATATACTAAAATCAAAATTAAAAGGCAATTTGTTGTCACCCCAGCCACAATAGTTTCTCTTGAGCCTTATAACTTATAATATTATTAGATAAAAAACAATTTTAAATATTTTGTTTTAGGGAAAAAAAAAGATCGATTTTTAAGTTGCAGGATAGTAATTGTGTATTCTATTTAAAATGATTATCAAGGGAAGCTATTACAATTGAAAGGAAATCAGTTTTATTTAGGTTGCCGTCGAAATGATTAGACTACTACACCGAGAGTACACACATTGTAACTGTTAAAACGAAGATTGAAAGGCTTTCTTTTTTTAAAATTTAAATCTCTACTTTTTTAAAATGTCCGCTCCAACAGAAATGGAAAAAGCTCACGAACCAAGAGATGTTGACGTTTCTGCAGCAGGGAGAGGCGTGTGGCTCGTTAAAGTAATTTTTTGGTAATCTATCGTTTTGGGTACGTAAAATCGCCCGCGACTAGTAATGTGAAAAACAGGTGACTCCTTACATTTTAATAATTATTTCACATTTTGAGGAGGATTTATGTTTTAAAAATACAAAAATGTTTCCTTGTTTCATTTATGTACCTGTTTTTAAACAATTGAATTAAAACTTTTCAGTAATAAATGAAGACTAGCGATGTTTCCAACAGATGCAACCATGCTCATTTACTATAGCAGCCATCTTGTTAAAGTTTTATTTTTATAGAGTTAAAGCGCAAGATTCAGGCGGAAGTCACTCTATTTTACAAATGGCTGCTGTTTATATAGCAAACCTTGCTTGTAGACACTGCTGTTTATACTTATAGTGTTTAAAGTTAATTTCTGGCCTATATTGATATATTTAGCCATTGATTTAGGTTTATTATTCATTTATCTAGTTTTATTTGACACAAACATATCACAATATACTTCTATTACAGCCTTGACAATGAGGTAACGTTTTCGTACATTAATAGCCGCGGGCGATTTTACATACCCAAAACGATAGATTACCAATTTTTTTCCCTTTCCTTTGTTTGTTGACTGATTTCTTGTAAAATCGCGAATCGGCCGAAGCCTCGAAGCTAGATTACTTCTTAGATTAGTATTATAGTAGGCCCTAATTAGTTAGATCTAGAGATCTAGACCTCCGGTTGAGCGTATTTTATTATGTATAGTATTGTATAGTAAAGGCCTAAACACAACCAAAATACACAAAGATATTAGGAAAATTCCAGGATTAGATTAAAATCATCAGAAAATAGCTTTAGAATAGAATATTAGATTATTAGTCTACTATTAGATCTAGGCCTACTTATTTTTTTTTTTTATGAATGTGTTTAAATTAGAAAAGGTAAAAAAAATTATTAGGCCTAGGCCTATGGGGCCTATATATAATAGATTTTCTTACTAAATCTAGAATTTACCCAAATTTCAAATTAAACATGACTACTGAATGATAGACATCCATATTTAATCCATTAGGGCTTAGGGACTAATTTTGAAGTTTTTAGTTCGTTTTAAACTAAATTACTTAATTTAATATTTATTGACACTCACTGCCATGGACAACACATCTCTCCATGACAACTCTTCTTACCCCTGAAGGCAGTTGAAGCTAAAGAGAACCACAAATGCGGTTAGACTTTTTAAGTGGCCATGTACCCAGAGTTCCCCACTAGTGATCATCAAATAGCGGTCACGTGGTCAAAAAAATAAAAAAAATTTGGTTGTCATTTTTTGGCCACTCTTATTAAAAAAAGGGTTGAAGATATTTGATTTATTTTTTCATAGAATGATAAAACTAATAATGCTTTACTATGGAAATCAATTTTGTGATATGGAGATCTATATTTAAAAAGTTGTATTATTTTGAATGACACCGACTTTAAATTTAGCCTACATTCCCCAAAGCAATTTTTGAAAATGCTTTTCTGGCATATTTAGCCTTGCCACCTATAGCATGTTTTTATAACGTGAAAACCCGCCATTTTACTCGTGATAAACATTTTTAAAAGTAATTCTAAGAAGGTCTCTGGAACTAAGTCGAAAAACTCGCCGGAAGTCATGGTCCGATCCTTACGCCATGTTCTGGTTAGCAACCAAGGACGCTTTTAAGTTAGTGAGCCTCCCTAATATATAATATTATTTAAGCATTAGGCCTTCAGTTCCAATTAAATAGCGTGTAATCGTTGGAGTGAGAAAAATCCCTACATGGTCAAGGGTTCACAGTGAGTTCAAATTGACTTTAATTATCCGGCAATCAGCATATGTCATAGCTTAGGGTCATTGTGAGTTCATGTAGATTAATTTATTGTTTCATGCCTTGCAATTTTGTGTTTCTACTTTACCCATTGCCCATGAAAATCTTAACTGACACGAACACATTTTCAAGAAAAAATAAATAGTAGGCTACACATCCAATATATTCCAAATTTTGGATTTTTCTTAAGTTCTGACAAAATTAATTTAAAAAACTAAACAAAAAATTCATAAAGAAATTGGCCAAGTGATTTCCAAACATTTTTGTGTGTTTCGGTTGTGTTTATAATAAAATACGCTCAACTGGAGGTGAAGGTGAAGCGGGGGAATAAAATACGCTAAAATGGAGTTTTACCAAAAGGTGACTCATTAATATGGCTTTTAAGTTTAATTCAAGTACATCTAAATGTGATAGGCCCTATCACATATCCCTAATAAATATAATATTATTATTAATCATAATAAGTAATAGGCTAGTAAGTAATAGGATATTTAGTACTGATAGATACTTGGGCTGATTTTACGTATCTAAAACTGTCACATTTAAACTGTCTTACTTTGGTTAGTATAGTTAGGCCTACTTACTACTTTACTACTACATTAACGTCTTAGTTAATACTAGACTAACTGAGTCTAGTAGTTAGTATTATACTAAAGTGTAACTAAAGCCTAGGCCTACTTATTAATATATTACTATTAGCCTATCTATAGTATTAGCATAACTAACTTAGACTTTTTTGTTGATTTTTTTAAAATGTTGATTCAATGTTCATTGAATTAATTAATCAGTAATAGGAGAATTTAAAATTTCTGTGTTATTTTACTATCTCTACCAGGTACCCAAGTATTTATCTGAACAGTGGAAACTTTGCCCAAAAGGAACTGATGTTGGAAAATTAAAAATCTCAAAAACAAAGTACTTTTTGTTTTTAAAAAAATTTAAGTCGTAATTGTTGAATCAGATAGGCCTATTATCTATTTGACCTAGTAGACCTATTAGATATTTTTATTTTTTTCTTGCCTATTTTATAAAATTATTTTAGGCCTAAGCCGAATGTTTTATAAAATAATTCAGCACACACAATTCAGTAAGGTTTAAATTATTTAGCCATTTTACAAGATTTAAAATTTCTATTTAAATGTTTTTTCCCTTTCAGAACCTCTAGTAAGGGTCCAGATATTGTGTTCACCAGTTTTGATGTATCACATAATGCAACCACTGGTCAAGAGGGAGTTCCTAAAACAGCATTTCCAAAGCCCCTTCAGGGTATTGTTGGTTCAAGAAATCATCAGTTCATTGTTTCAAATGTTGGCAGTCAGAATCTAGTAGTTATGGCACAGTTGAGAACAGGTGTGTTACAACTCACACAGGATTGGTCATTCTATCACATTACTGTTGTGGTCAAATAGTGTGCTAAGTAAAAAAAAAATGATATACCCTTGAATAGTTTGTAAATAATAGTCCTTTTAGTTAAATGTAGAACATCACGGTCATATGTTTATGACTGTTAACCCAAAAGATTCTAATTCAGATCCAAGGTTTGAAGTAGTAGAACATCCCTAAATCTAACCTGATCTAATGGGTGTCTGGTTCACATTGAAGAAAGAAAAGGCAAATGGGCAGGGCTGATCATACTGACTTTTTATGTGCATAAGTAACAGAAACAGGTGAACTCTACTTCATTTGCCCCATTGATTGTCAGGGAAGCTTTTGCTATAAATTTTCCTGCTAAGATTCACTATTTATACTGCAATATCTTTTTTATTATTTTTTATAACCAATGGAGGTCTGCCTACTTGTACAGTTTTACTCACAAGTTTTTTTTAATTTAGACTCCCCCCAGGTTATGGAATTACGCATTAGCCAGTAGTAAAAGTCAAAATTCACTGAGTTTTTTTTTAATATGACCATAAAGAGTCTAGAATCAAATCGCAATTAGATCTAGTCCTTTTCTTTAAAATAAATGTTTGTATGAGTAACGAAGCCTATTATTATCATTACGTAGCGGCATAGCTATTTAGTTGTTTTATTTTCTACTTTTCAGTAATTCATAATTTGTGAATTCGACAGTACCACTGCTGTCACTGAAAATATTTGCTTTAAAACACTATCAATAAGTCGTTAAGTTTAAAGTTTAAAATAGTTTCAAACTAAATTATCTGCCCCTAATGGCCGTCACTAAACCCGGCTCTACGATTGTAAACATTTAACTGAACCACAGGTCACCAGACTTCCTGGAGAGGAAGAGAGGGGACTGCAAGCGCGCTTACAGCTTGTTTTCTTACGTCTCCAAGAAGAGAATTATATATATAGATTCTGATCGGTTTTGTGATAATATAAAATTTGACTTAGATGTCAATTTACTTGGTATACAAAAAAGTAGTAGCATCCAATTACTACAGAAAATGTATGCTTTTGTTACTAAACTTTTTTTTTTGAGTAGGCAGTGCTGTCAATGATTCTAAAGCCTATCCAATTTTTTTTTTCTCAAAATGATTGGTATTACTTTTGAATTTTTACTACCTACAGATATGACAGGCAAAGAACTTCCAGTTGGTAAGGAATTTCTCTTTTCACATCAGAATAAGGTCTTTTTTTTTACTTATACTTTGTCAAAATAGGGCATCAATTAAATATTTAAATTGTCATAATTTTTATGCTATTAAGAATTTATTATATAATTTTGGAAAATATGTTAAGTTGTTTGTTTAGTAAAATTCTGAGGTAAACAAAAGATAAAATTTTAAACTGTGTTTATAATAAAATGAGCTATTTTGATGTCACCAGAGAAAATCAGTGTTGAAGGCAAAGTTTTACAAAGAGCAGAATGCCATCCTATTGTTGATGCCCAATACAGACAGTTAAAGAAGTAAGTACTGAGTTATTGGTAGAAATATTGATATAGAGTGTTATTTCAAAGCTTAAGTTAGTCACAGGTGCATGCTCTAATCCCTGAATAGACAGAGCAGTTTTGATTGTTGGTGTGTTGCTATCATTGTATGAATGTATAAACAGCTACAGAAGTCAGCACGTAGTTGATATAAGTGATGATTACTGAAAGCACTCATTTTTCACTGGTTTTCATTTTAAACCTATATCACAACTTGTATGACTTATTGACTAATTCTGTTTTAACTGTAAATAAGCAAAAACAGTTGTCTGTGTTTTTTGACTGATAAATGTATCCTCTTACAACTACATATACACAGAGGCGTAGCGAGGGGGGTGCGGACCGCACCGGGTGACACCATTTAGCGGGGGTGACACCTAGGCAAAAAAATAGCAAAATATATAGAGAAAAACTTGAGGGGGGGGTTGCTAATCAAAAGTTTGGGGGGGGGGGGTGGGGGGGTGTGCAAATAAAAAATTTGAAAGTTTGTCCCCGGGAATTGTCTTTACGCCTCTGGGGTGACACCATTAAGTGCCGCACCGGGTGACAACCGACCTCGCTACGCCACTGCATATACATATATATTTATTTTGTCAAACTATGTAATATTTGTAAAATCTGTAGACACATTGCGCCACCACTTTAATGTACTTCATGTGCTTATTAAACTTAATTTGATTTTTAAGAGATCAGGTTCAAGCCCAAAATACTCCCCAGAGACAGATCAAATTATTGCCTAACATTGTCCAATCATATAAGCCTGTCAGTGATCACTTCAACAATGTGAGTTACCCGCCCTTGCTATTTCTGCTATCACTTGAATTACATAATACAAATTAAATTGATTTAAGGCTAAAAGTTCACTAAATTTTATAACTAGTTGTGTACTTTAGATTGTTAATTTGAGTTGATAAATGTATCTAATTTCGTATTTGTTTTATTCATAAATTACACCTTTTTAATCAGATTGAAGATAAAAAAACAAAGAAGGCTGAGAAACGATCTCGGGCAGAGAAAGAGAAAGTGATGGATGTGCTGTTTAACGCCTTTGAAAAACACCAGTTTTACAATGTAAAAGATCTTGTCGGCATTACCAAACAGCCAGTGGTATGTTTAAAACTTCTCTATTTCTCTCTTATGTTATGGGGATAACTGCAGGCAGATAGTTATTATCAATGTTGTGAGCTGCAAAGACCTGTTGGTATAAACTAGGATTTTAACTAATCTACCCTATGTATAGCATCCTGGTTAGTTACTGGACTTATTTAACTTTGGAATATCATCATTGTGTCCTACTGATCAGTCCTTTAAAATTTAATGCTTTAACTTTTGTTGTCAACTTTCATTAAAAAATTGATACGTTAACCCTCAAAGTAAAGACACATTTTTTTCAGTAAGTGATTCCAATTATCCATAAAAAAATTAGCTTGCATGTAAAATTTATTTTTTTTGTGGTGGAAAATTATGTGAACTGTCTTACGTAACACATTTTCTGTTATTCCCAAGCCTTACTTAAAAGAAATATTGGAAGATATCTGTAACTGTAATAATGTCAACGAATTTCATTGATTTTTTTTTTATGTTCTTCCAAAGCCTTACCTAAAAGAGATACTAAAAGAGATCTGCAACTACAACATGACAGCACCACACAAAAACATGTGGGAGCTGAAACCAGAGTTCCGACATTACAAGCCAACAGACGAAGGAACATCCTAGTCTTACCTGCGGTGAAAGTGTTTCTACAGAACAAGCAAGCGAAGCTTGGTTTATAGTTACCTCTGATGTTAACACTGACTCTGAATGTGTCGGTAAATGAAATACAGAAGAGTTTATTCTTAATAATCTTAAGAATAACTTGTGATGGGTAACTTGGATTTTGTTATGTAACCAGGTGGACCTATGTGGTGAATTTTTCTCATCTCGCAAGCAAGAGATATCAGGTGTTTCAGGTAGCCAAAAATTGTGCTACTAAACATCACATGAGATAGTGTTGTCAAAATGTGTAGGTTTAAATTGTATTTGTTTTAATTTAAAGACAAGATAAGGCTCCAGTTTCAAATTAAAATTTTATTTTACTTCAATTTTTTTTTGGTAAATGCCATTTGTGGATCAACCTATTTATTTTGTGAATTCGCTTTGGCTAATTGACATGAATTTTACTTTCTCTGAAATGTTTTAACTATATTTATAAAAATAATCTCAACTTTCAAAAAAATCTTTGTTGTTGTTTTAATTTGTTGACCTCCTGGGTTTTGTAATGTAAATTTTTAAATTGAATCTCTACTTTGCCATCCGCAACAATATTTTCAATATTCAGAGTTAACAGAAGAGTTATAGAAATCTCGATTTCCAGTTCATCAGCTGAGACCTACACTTTCCAGGCAGAAATATGCCAAAAAATATTTTTTAATTGCTACGAATTTCAAAGCTTATATAGGGATCAAACAACAAGGCAGGTAAAATGAGAGTGAGAGGAGGGATGGTTTCAACACAGGAATTGCACTTGAAATGGAAGACAGGAAGGGAGGTTTGTGAATAAAAGGAATCTTCTTCTTCGTTCTTAATTTTAGTGTTGGAAGGGATCCACTCCAACACAATTAAGGATACGTTTCAACTGGTTATGCGCCATTTAAGCCATTGACTCCGATTTCAGCCTGCTTTTCTTTTTGGATTTGCTTCTATAGCCTTTGTCCAACCAAGAACAAACTACAAGACAGCAGTTGTTTGATTTTGGAGTTGTGTCTCCTAGAAGAGTGGCTGTCCCCAGCTAACGAGCCTCATCTGCCCGAGGGTTCGAACTCGAGACTTTTCGGTTTAGCAAACCTTGAGCTTTACCGACTCGACCACGCCTACCCCTAATAAAAGGAACAACTTGCTGTGCACAAAGGGTGAACACAGCTACCACTACCTGTAATCTCTTTTCAATATTTGCCAAATGTATCTGTCTAAGGTCAGGAGATGTTAACATGGTCAAATATAAGGCTAGTGGACCTAATTATATTTCTTTAATTGCTATGCAAAGTAACTGGTGTTGTAAAAAGTTCCAGTTCAGGTCCCTTGACTGTGGTGACAACAAACTCAGGCCTCACTTCCCTGATCTGAAAAAAAGAAACTTAAATACACACGAAATTGATTCTCTGCTTCCCCTGATGTTGTTAGCATTCCCATTGAGTTACAAGATGAATTCTTGGATTTGTAAACTGATTCTATAGCATGTACCTTGTTTAATATTTAAGTACACATTTTTGCTTAGGGAGGGGGTGCAGTTGTAGAGATGCCCGAAAGAATATCTGGACTTGATGCTGCCGTAAACAAGAACTCAACTGCAACTTATTTTATCCTGCTGGTATAGCATTATATTACATCAACTATCAAACAGAATTTGCTTTTAACTGCCTTATTGATTTTTGCCTTTTTTAAAAATTGTATGGGGGTCGTGGATCATTTGGCCTTTTATGAAGTCACCATTTGAAAATGTTTGATAACCTGGGTTTCTTTCACAGTTTTCACCAAAGGGATTGGGGGATCTTTTGAAACTTCGGGGGGGGGGGGGGGCACAAGACGACGACACTTGTTAAAGTATATATTTTGCGTGTTTATATAGTGCGGGGGGGGGGGGGGGGGGGGCTAGGTGCTCTTCCAAGAAGTATCCAGAAAGGAACTCGGTAACCTCTGAGGCCAATTTATGACGCCCACATGGGGGAGTCTAAAAAATCATCTTTTGTTGACTATGGGGTTAGGGTCCATGTGGACATCCACGTGTAGAATTTAATATATAAGTGCTTACACTTTAAGGTCAGAGATTGTGTTTTTAGAAAAAAAAACTTTAAATTGTGACCGTAAGTCCCACTTCTCACCAGCAGACTATAAGTATCTCACATTAAGTTGTCATTTTAAAACCAACATAAAACTCTTATCCTGCATGTAAAAAGTAAAATTATGACGACAGTGCTCGTGTCGAAAAAAAACCCCATCCCAGCTCGTAAACAAAGTGTGGTTTTAATATCTACACTGTGGTCATCCATATCTTAAGCGGCGTCATGATTTTTGAACGATTACCTCCCTTTCCCCGCAACGTCACACATCAAAAATAGTCCGGACCCAACACCTAAAATGAAGTCAAATCCCAGCCTACTGCACGTCTGCACCTCTCAAAACTGTAATTTAAAAAAAAAAAAAGCAATTTTTCGAAAATATTTACCCAGCTTGGCCAATGTTGAATAGGCCATGATTAATTTTTAATTAACTTTAAAAAAAAAAAAATTACCAGCGTGGAGCAACGGCTTAAATTAAGTTTCTAACAGTTTTTTCCAAGCATCCGAAGAAAGTCTACCCGCCCCCCCCCCCCCCCGAACGAAAGGTAATTTATATAGAAAATATATACTTTTAAAAGTGTCCGAACCCCCCCCCCCCCCCAGGAAATTTTAGTACAAAAAATGGGGAGTACAAAAATGTGTAATCGCCGTTATTAAAAAGTACCTAATAATTAATAACTGATTATATTACATAAACTACATAAAGGGTATTATACAAAGGGCGAGTGTCTATTTGGAAAATCTCCATTCGGCATTGGTCCCGTTCGGGCAATTGTCCATTCGGGCGTTTGTCGCATTCGGGCAAGTGTCTTTCTGGAAAAAAAATACGCCCCCCCCCCCGCCAGACACCGCAAGGCGGCGGGGGAGGGAGGGAGCAGGCCGTTTTTGGGTGACAAATCAAATCAGATAAAAAAAATAACTTTCTGCACGTTGATATCCTAGTGGTTTTGTAAAAATAACAACAAGCAAATAGACTACAGCAGTGATTTGTTCTACAGTAACAGGGGGAGGGGGTGTGGCATTTTAATAAGTTTTGCTTAGGGCGCTAAATAACCTGGCGCCGGCACTGATTAGGGTAATTAGCGACCGATGAAGTAAACAGGCCATGAACCAGAGGCTTTGCGACTTATTGATCTTTTAAATGCTAATATACTAATATTATATTAGCTTAAATTTACATCTAACGAGTACAGAGAATATTATCATTTGCATTATTTTTTTTTATTGGTAATGGAGAAAAACATTCAATTAATGAAATAAATAATATATGTTTTTTGACGCTTAAAACATTTAAATGTTTCTCTCTGCACTCTAGATTCTACTTGTAAATATGTAGGCCTAATCAGAGGCGTAGCGAGGGGGCGGGGGGGCGGGGGTGCGTACCGCACTGGGTGACACCATTTAGGGGGGTGACACCAAGGCAAAAAAAAAGCAAAATATATAGAGAAAAATGATAATTCCACTTAATTAAGTAATTAATTCGAGTGTTAAATATTCTTTTAAGAGGTGCAAATCGAAAGTTTGAGGGGAGGGAGGGTGCAAATCGAAAGTTTGAGGGGGTTGGGTGCAAATCGAAAGTTTGAGGGGGGGGGTGCAAATCGAAAATTGACAGTTTGTCCCCGGGAAGAGTCGCTCGCCTCTGGGTGGTGACACCATTACGTGCCGCACCGGGTGACACCCGACCTCGCTACGCCATTGGGCCTAATAATAAACATTTTGAAAAATACTACATCCGCATATCAGTTTTAAAAACAAATGAAGAATACGTCGAAAGTGGCCGCGCGTGTGAGTGTGTGTGGTGGGGGGGGGGGGGGGTCTAAAATCCGAAATTTGTGTGGATGTCATAAGATCCTTTATCGGTATCAAAGTGGGCTAAACGATTGCGCTTTTAGTTGTTAACTCTCTTAAAAATATGATTACGAAAACCCGTTTGACCCGGAAGCCTTTATGAGTTGAAGGTGAACTTATTTAGGCACAACTGTAAATAGTAAATTTGCCTTTCTCTTCACTAAACAAGTTTATAAGTAGATCTCTAGTCTAGCTAGATTATTTTTTAAAATGTGGTACGAGATTTTACCCTCGGCAGGAATCGTTTTTTTGGCATTTTTAGCACCACAAGTGATTCACTATGGCTTAAATTATTATGCTCATAATGGAAAGGTAGGAGTATGCAAATCATTTAAAATTTTGGTAATCTATCGTTTTGGTGGGTAGTTCTACGTAAAATCGCCCGCGGCTATTAATGTACGAAAACGTTACCTCATTGTCAAGGCTTTAATGGAAGTGTATTGTGGTATGTTCGTGCCAAATATTATCAATAAATGAATAATAAACCTAAATCAATGGCTAAATAATCAATAATCAATATGTGGGTAAAACTCCATTTTAGCGTATTTTATTCTCCGCTTGTCGTTTACCTCCAGCTGAGCGTATTTTATTATAATAACCGAAACACACCAAAACATTAGGAAAACACGATTTATTTATTTGTATTGTATTGTTGTTTTCACAAATGAATAAAAAGGAATATTTAAAAAACACGACTTGTTTATTAGTTTATTTGTATTGTATTTTTTTAAAAGGCATTTGTCTCATGGTGAAACTGATACACTGTTAATTACTCTGTATGATATTTTTGTATTTATGCTATAAATGTACAAACTCTGTGTTTTACTATTTTACTATAGAGTTGTATGTTATTTAAATTCATAGTAAATCTACCATCCTTCCCAATATTTTGATATAGACCTATGTATCAAGTATGATTTTTTTGTATGAGTAAATTTCTGACTTTTAAAAAAATAATGATGTGGGGTTGTCCATAAATGACGCCACACTCAGGGAGAGGGGGGTCCGCAATTTTGTGATGGTAAGTGACGGAGGGGAGGGGGGGGGGCAGAGGCGTAGCGACCCTTCCCGGCGATAAACTTTTCGATTTGCACCCCCTCAACCTTTCAATTTATTTTTCCAACCCATTTTGGCGCCCCCTAAGGACGGCGCCCAGGGGCCATATGTCCCTTCCCCATCCGCCCCCCCCCCCTCGCTACTGGAGGGGGTAGGTAAAAATCGTTTTTAAAAAGCGTGACGTCATTTATGGATGATCCCTGTAATAAATTTGTAAATTTGTATTATTTAGCTGTTCGTTTTACTATTTAAATTCATGCATCACGATTGCATTTTTTTTTACAATATTAGTTATATTAGTCTATTTCTGTACATCCTCAAAATGCGAAATAACGTATGAAATTTAGTGTCTAACAGTATTTTTTAAAATGGCAATGTGAGTTGTCACACTTTCTCTAACACTCCAAGCCATCCCTCACCAAATTCCACCACCCCTCGCCACACTTTCGGCAGCATTATTAGGGGTCATCCATAAATGACGTCATGCTTTTTTGACGATTTTTACCTCCCCCCTTCCCTCCGTCACACGTAGTCACAAAAAACTCAGACACCCCTCCCCCTTAAATAACGTCACACCTCAGCCTCTGTCTAAATAGAGTATTTTAATCAACTCCTATTACAATTTATTAAAACAGTTTTCTAAAACGCGAAATAACGTCTAGAATTTGCTTTCTAACATTGCTTTTTTATAATGCAAAAGTGTGACGTCACACCATCTGACCCCCCCCCCCCTCCCCCTCACACACCGTCACAAAATTACGGACCCCCTCCCCCCCTACAGTGTGACGTAATTTATGGACGACCCCTTATGCCTTTTATTCTGTTAGTTGAAATTGTAACACTTATTTGTACAAAGTGTGCATCTCTATTTTTGCAACCAACTAACAAAGCATTTCAGTCTCTTTGTTGCTTTATTCATTTGTTAAAACAAAAATACAAAACAAATAAATAAGTCCTGTTTTTTTTAAAATATTCATTTTTATTCATTTATGAAAAACAACAATACAATACAAATATTAAATTCGTGTTTTCCTAATGTTTTGGTGTGTTTCGGTTATTATAATAAAATACGCTCAACTGGAGGTAAACAAGCAACGGAGAATAAAATACGCTAAAATGGAGTTTTACCCAATATGTGAATTGAATAGGCCTATCTATAGGCCAGAAATTAACTTTAAACAGCAGTGTCTGCGAGCAAGATTTGCTATATATATATATAAACAGCAGCCATTTGTAAAATAGAGTGGCTTCCCCCTGAATCTCGCACTATAAGTTTATAAAAATAAAACTTAAACAAGATGGCTGCTATAGTAAATGAGCATGGTTGCATCTGTTGGAAACATCGCTAGTCTTCATTTATTACTGAAAAGTTTTAATACAATTGTTTAAAAACACGTACATGTCATAAATGAAACATGGAAACATTTTAAATTTTTGTATTTTAAAAAACATAAATCCTCCTCAAAATGTGAAATAATTATTAAAATTTAAGGAGTCACCTGTTTTTCACATTACAAGTCGCGGGCGATTTTACATAGGCCTACCTAAAACTATAGATTACCAAAATTTTAAATTAGGCTATTTAATCAATTCTCATTCTGAATTCATATCAGACCAGTTAATTGATATTGGTATTTTATAATATAATAATAATATTATATTATCAATGATCAATCAATCAATCAATCATCATTAAAATTAATCATTATTGAAATCAAGATTTTAAGTTTAAAAATATTAAAATGTATTGTAGTGTAGTCAGTGTAGTCAGGTAGTGTACTACTAAAATCTAGATCTACTAGTGTTAAGAGTTAAGAGTAGGTCTAGTTAGTCTAGTGACTCTAGTAGTAGTAGTTACATAGTAAGTCTAGTACTCTAGTAGATTGGGCTAGCTCATTGCTGAAATGGCAGGAATGACCTCTGACTCTGAAACGTCACACATTGTTTTTTTTGCGTTTTTTTAGGGGTCCTATACATGTCAAATGAAAAAAATGCTAATCTCGTAATATGTCATCATTATTTTAATGCGAGAGGCTAAATAAATGGCCGCCATGCCGTAAAATGGCCAAAAAATTCATGAGATGTGTGGTTTTAATTAATACAATACACGCATTTCTTGAGTACTCTTGGGAAAGACTGAACTGCTGCCTTAAAATTAAAAGGCCGGTTCACGGTACAAATGCAGTACTATGTAATTGAGTTATAATGATTAATTACAGTTCTGTTGATACATTTTTTTATATCGAATATGAGGATGAGGTATCCATGCAGACATTTCTGTCTGCTATTTTTAGTTTTTTTACGTCATTGCTATGCTAGTTGCCTGACAGAAACAACTACTTTTTGTTTTTTGCGGAATGAACTGTTTAGTCTAGTATTTTAATTATAATTCAATTGTAGCGAGTGCAGAAAAAGTAAAATTATGGACATTATTTAATTATTATTGTATTAGTAATTTTATTAGGATATTGATCTTTTTCTTCACTGTAGGCAGACAGTAGCTGCATTGAATTTAATTCGTGACCGGTGGTTAACCTCGTCAACCCTGGGTAGCCTATTCGTCTATATAATTTGTATGAAATTTATAGTATTTCTAACGATGCTCGTTCAGTGGCCTTTTTGAGAGCTAGGCCTAATTACGGGCGATTTTTAGACTTAATTGATTGGCCGTTATCCTTTGTCATTGCTGCGTATTTTATAATTTAAAATATGCAGCAATTACAAAGACTCATTCAACTGCCTTTTTTTTTGGCGCTATAATCTGTTGACGGGCATTTTTAGCGTAGTTTTTTTTTGTAGCTCCTTATAATGGCTCCTTATTGAAGACTGGTTTTTTGTTTATTGGTATTACTAGTATGGAAACATTTTTCACTATTGTTTCTCTTTGCTACAGACTATGGTCAGAAATCACCGTCCCATGCCAGTAGGTTATCACGACCTCCGCCTCTACTTGCGTGATAAGAAAATCACTGGCAGTGAATACATACCAAAAGTAAGGAGTTTTGCTTGACCACCCTTATTAATACAAAAAAAATAGATTATTACTTAAAAATGGGTTCCAGTGTCTTCAAATAGTTTTTTTTTAAAATACGCTTAATTTTTTAGTAGTACAGTAGTCTAAACTACATTTATAGTTACTAATCTCTCTTTTTCCCCAGGGCCTAGAGGGTATTCCAGATGGGCCATGCAAATAAACAAGACAGTTTATCAGAGTTAGAGAATACAATTAAATATATTAGATATTCATATGCTTTTTTATTAGTTGTTTTAGTTTCTAGAAATCTAGTTATTCAAGCAAAAAACTAACTTTTCTGGTGGTCATACATAGCTTTATTTATTGGTATTGAATGCAACATATTTACACTAAAATATACATGAGACAAATTTGGTAGCTATGCTTAGAAACTTGGATTGAAAAGACCACATAATTGGCTTCAAGTTTCTCATCTGATTTTCTGCCTTCTTAAAATTAAGCTAAATATTAATCTACAAAGTGGTCCATATGCTTTACACAACATAATTTTCCCTTGTTCATTCATCCTAAATTTGGTCAACACTAAAATGCAAAATCAACAAAAAAAATTGCTTAGGATGTATTCTACCCAGATGCACTGTCTGCTAAACATGAATAAACTCTTCTAGCAAATGCAAACTAAAAAAATTTCCTAAACATTTTTGGATTAATAACTTGGGACACAATTTTAAAAAAAATGACAAAAACCTAAGTTTACTGTTTATTTACCGATATATGTATACTTTAGTACACACAAGAACATTTTGGCTAAGATACTACTAGAGACAGCAAAACTGTCACGAGTTGGCCCAATGTGAACAATGTTCTAAAATAAACGCTAATGCATAAGTATTCAGCAAGAACATTAAAAACTTGTATTCAAATACACAATTCAATCTTACAAAGAAAAATATTTTCACTTATTAAAACAGACTATTGCCACAAATGCATAATAGATTTTATATCTTCACAAATGAGTGATGTGTCTGTGTAAAATCTAAACAGACATTAGCTCATTTTATTACCTTAGCTTTAATATTGTTAAAAATAATCAAATCAAACCAATACATTACTAATACCAAAAAAATAATCAACTTTCCTCAAAACATGTAGCCTTGAAACTTTTTAAAGCCATTACAAACTTTCCTGATCACAACAGATTCCATCACACAGGTATGACTATTTCAAAAGTGATGCTATGAATGAGTGTGGAGGGTGACCTGCTTATAAAGTATACTCACAGCCACTTCAAATCAGTTGCTTAACAAAAGATCATGGCTGTGTTGCCTAGCATGAATTAGCTTCTCTGATGTTCATGGCAGTTTTACAAACACACCAAAAGAAAAGCAAAAACCAGTGAGCGCAAAATATACTATACACAATGTTAAACTGATATTCCGAAACCTGATTTTAAGCAACGTAATGGTATGTGTTGGGGTTATCTTTGTCTCGCTCCATGTATTCTCTCTCAATCAATGATTCTATCCTCTTCTTCAGATCAGCCGACTGGAAACAAAAAAAAAAAAATGCATGGTAAATTGATCACATAGTTTATATTATATACTAGTCCTAGATAACATTTCAGTTAAAAATATTTGGTAATTAAAAAATGTAGTTATATGGGACAGCGTGTTTGTGCACTTAACTGCTAATCTGGAAGTGTAGACTTTTGTCTCTATAATCAGTAAAACATTTCTGAGTCTACTGATCTATGATGGGTACTTCAAGTTAGAGAATAGCAAAAACAGCTGGACCAAACTATTTTATCTAATGCCAAGGTCATAACAGATAACTTCTACTTCATCAGCCCTATTAGCCATCAATCCAAATGTTTAACTCTTCACAGCATGAATACCAATATAAATCTTACCAGTAGCTTCAGAGAACCAGGTACCTACCTTAACTGGGAACTTGAGCTGATTAAACAGCTCTGAAATAAGTAAGTTGTGACTGAGTGTTTTGCGTGTTTTCATGATGCGCACCACAGCAGCATCCACCTGGTATTGTCTGTCTTGGAATACCCTTTCTGTAGTGCTTGTATTTTCCTCTTGCTGAATTAATAACAGCATACAATAAATGTGATTTAAATCACAATAGAAAAAAACAAAACAGGCATTACACTCTCAACTACATGGCTACTATACATTTTAAGTGAAGTAAATTGTCAAGAAATTTAATAAAAAAATCTTTTTGTCGAGCAAGTTTTTAAGATTGCTAAAAAATTTCCATTCATAAAATATGACTACAATTTAGTGCTTAGATCAACAAGGCTGCTATTTTAGGTGGAAAAAGCACTCACTGTCTCTTTCATTTGTATTTGATTAATTTTGATTCTGTACAACTTGTGTTTGAAATCATCAGCAAATTTGAAGGAGTCTGTGTCATTTACATCTTTGCCCTTGAGATTCATGAAAAAGAATGGATGAGTTAACAAAATGCATCAAGCTGCTAAAATGTAGTAAAAAAATGAGTGCAAGTATACAATATCAAATCAGGCAATCTTGATAAAATTCATAAGCCACAGTATAAACTTACCTTTGGATTTTTGTATATTACTCGAGCCTTACCACAAGCTAAAGATTGTAATGTTCTTTTCAGCTCCATTTCATCTGTGGGAAATAATGTACACACAATCAATCATATTACACAAAAACAAGACGATCTTAATGCCAAAGGTGGAAATAAAGGTGGCTAGAAAAACATGTTACCTATGCCAGTAGCTGTCTTTATGTCAGAGAAAGAATATTCTTCACCCTCATTAAACAACAGAAGACACAAAGTTTGTAATAAAGACACTTGAATTTCTTTTCTTACCTAAGAAATACAAAAAACAAATCAGATTTAAATATAGGTGGTAGAATTTAAAAGAAATTTAGATGGAGTCTTACATTATCTCTAGACATTAAAAATTACACTTCAAACAATGGAGGATAACACCGGTTAAGTCTAGTGCACTGCGGTCACAATATGTATAGTAGTTTATTTACTCTAGTAATAAAAGTCTAATTAGTAACTATGTTGGCGGAAGCGGGGGGATAACAAGTTTTATTTACTTTGTTTTGTTGTTGTTCTATCACTAGTGGTTCATTTTCTATGAGTTAAGAATTTTTTTTCTCGAAATTACTGGCAATTTAATTAGTGAAATTAAATCTAAAATACCTCTGCCATTAAATTAGGATTTATTCATAATGTAACTAATACAGTGATAAAGGAATAGAAAATTACTCAAGTGACAACATAGCATTTTTTTAAGCATTTTAAAATATAGTTTTTATAGATATATTAGAGAAGTAGCATTTTGTTTACATTTTTTTGTGATTATATTTAATGTAAAATTTTTTTTTATAAGAAGGTAAAGTAAAAAGTTTTGATTCCTTGGATGGTAATAATGGTTGCTAATAATGTGAAAACTAATTTATATGACAAATTTAATTGAAAGTTTTTTCCTTTTGTACTTGTGTTTAAAAAGTTTTCTGCTCATACTAAACAAAAGTGCAAATTAATTAAATAGTTTGCGTAGCATGGAGACATTTTTTATTGAAAAATTAAAATCTAACACAAGCTTCTTTCTTTTAAATGAAAGTGTGAGAGCATTGTTAAAAAGTAATAGCAGTCATGTACATTTTTTAAGAGTTGTGAAAATTATTATAAGAAATATATATTGGTAAAGAGCTCTAATTGGTTACATACTGTGTAGTTGTTGAACTCAGCTTTCAGAACACAGTGACCTAAAGTAGGCTGCCATTGAAGCTTCCTTCCACTGTGTTTCCCCAAATAAAACTTTTTAAAGACTTCCTGGTACCGCACCATCTTAAATAAAGTTTACATGTCTATGTGAGCAAAAGATTAATAACAAAATACAACAGAAAAACAAAAATAATAAGATGTTTGTATCAACCAATTAGGCTGTCAAGCCTTGGAAAACATTGAAACAATCTCTGAGAAGATCAAAGAGCTGAAAGGTGTTATACCTCTGATGGAAGATGAACTTCTACGACAGGATAGGCAGGCCAGTAACCTTGAGTCAGGATGTTAACTGTCAGATCAATAGAATCATTGCTGTTTTGAAGGCTCTGTAAGGAAAAGTTCACAACTTTTGAAACATACAAAATAAGTTTTTTTTTTAAATTCTTCAGTGAGTGTATGTTAAAAGATAACTTTATTGTCAAATAAATAATCAAGCCAAAAATATTTGAAAAGTGAAAATATTTTTCAAGAATGGGGGTAGAGAAAAATATAAAGTTTTTGCCAATGTTTATGTATAGAATTAAGAGTAGCAAATAATAGACAAAAAATAACCTAAGCCTTGATACAGTGCACTTCTTACAAAGACAAAAAATACTAAGTGAACTGAGTCTACCTGTCTGAATGCAAGACTAATGTCTTTAGAGAGCTCCATGTCTTTGAACATTCCCTCAAGTTTACTTGTAAAAGCAGCACCACATTCTGAAAAACCAAAAATATTTAAACACTGAAACACAATCATAACTCATATATCTAAATACTAAATAGGAATACAGGTTAAATAAAAAGAAAGTATATCAATAAACAGAATAAATGATATAGATATATAGCATCGATACTGAACAAATTAACTGGTTAAATGATGTTCTATAAAGTCTTCAATATAATGTAGAATAATGGTTAATGTGTGAAAATGATTTTAATGTAAACTGAAATTAACAAGAGACGCTACTTGCCTTGTTTAAGCTTAGAAAGCATTGATTTTTCTGCATCAACTGATGCACTTTTCCCAACCAACAACCTCTTGGCCAAATCTTTTTTATAAAATGCCTCAAACACATCTTTACCTATATAATACACAATTATTAATAGGCATCAACATTGATGCAATTCAAAAGAAAGTTTAGAATGATGGTTTAAATAATTCAACATTTAACATTAGGTTATAAAGTTTAATAAATAATCACAAATTGATATTGCTCCATTTTACCCAATTTTACAACTTACCATGTATAAACCTGAATATTACGAGTATTTTGTCAAGAAGTTTTTCCATCTCCTCTTCTGTGGCTTCCTGTCAAAAATAACATGGAGAAAATATTAAACACAAGCTGAAATAGATATACAAACACTGCAAGTTGTAAACAGAAAAAATATACTAAACATACCTTATTCCCTGCTCTTAGCTTTGAATCAACATATTTAGCTGGAAATAAATGTTATAAGACTTTACTATTATAGAAATAACTGTTGGGCATAAAAGACAAACTAATAAGAATTGTTTGAGATTAATAGAAACTAGTGGCTTCTTTAAATATCATGTAAGCATTACCAAGAATTTAGCTGATTAAATATAGAATGGATTAGAGAAAAAAAATTTTTGAAGAAAAGATTTTAAATCTGAAATTTTGAGAAATATTATTACATAATATTCATTTTAAATCTAACCTAACTAAACCCCACTCGCAGCTTGGTAAATAATATCTTTATTAATAAAACAATTTAATTTAAAAACTTAATTATATTCTACCCCCCACCATCTAAAACAATTGTAGGGTGCAAAAACAAATGGATATGGAAATGTACAGCACTGGTTCCATCACAACAGCCCTCTTGTGCAAACCAATTTGTGATAAACATCATTGCATGGCGTAGATATGGAAATGTATGGGGGTTAAAATGGGAGGCGAGAATCGCTCTTTACACATAGACATTTTATTTTAAACAAGTTTTGCTACTTGGACTCTATATCCAGACCAAGTAAGAACCCTGGCGTTTAGTTCGCATAACAGTATTTACAAATAAATATCAGATAATTAACTTTGAAATATTGTAAGTGCACAACTAAGATCATGCAAACTCACCTATAAGTTCAGCAGGTTTATTCTGTCTCTGGTTAATAAAAGATTCAAAACTTTCCTTCATGGAGTTGACAAATTTTTCGTTCTTCTCAAAACATACTAATATCACAATGTCAATTTTGTCTTTAAAATCTGGTAAAAAATAAACCATAAACAAAATTGTAACCTATCTATAGACTCGCAAGTCTAATTTTGGTCTTAAATGAAGGCAAATAGCACAGAACAACTTGCTATAGGCGGGAAAATAAAAGCAACTAGCCGACTTACCAAGCAATTGCTGTACCATGTCTTTATCTTTCTCTGGGTCATTGTTTGGGTTAACAACAATCACACGGCCAGTTTTCTGGAATTTTTAAAAAGTTTTAATGAAACCATAAAAATTATATTATATGAACTAACCAAATTTGGTCAAAGATAAGTTTAAGTCATAAAACAGTTTTCTTAATATAGTTGTTATTAAAAGAACTATATATCTTTGATTTGCAAAATTAAGAAATCTTAGAAATATGCTGACCGAATCGGTTAACTTTAAAAAGAATACTAAACATTCTAAAATACAAAAAACAACTGATATTTGCTGAGTGAATTTAAAAGCAATACAAAGTTGGTTAATTTTTAACTAGAAAACAACTTGACTTAATGCACACAAAAAAAAAAACACAGAAGACTAATCTGCTTGTTTATATGAAAAGAGAATGTTACCTTTATGTAGGCAGCAAATTCCAGTCTCAAGTATTTCAGGCCGTCTTTAACTCGATTGAATAGTTTAAAAAGTAAAGTGAGATCTGAGATCCTATTCTCATCCAAAAGCTGATCCAGGCCTAAGTGAAGAGATGGTTAAATAGTTAAATATACAGGCTATATTAATGTGTTTAATAATGATTTTAAAATGAACAGTTTTTATATACCTTTTTGAAGAATCTGTTTCATGTGATTTTCCAGCAAATTTTTTTCCACACAAGAGATAAGTGGTTTTCTGATGAAAGAAGCAACACAATGTTACATTATAATGGTAATGTGTGCAAGGGCAAAATAAAAAACAAAGGTACTGGTAACTAATATAGTAACAGAACACAGAAACTCTAAACAATACAAGGAAAGCGCACCTACAGCAAACTATTGTAAGTTCATGTTAAACATGGTTTATGTTATCTAATAAGCAAATAATTTAACACTTACTTTGTTGACTGATCGAGATAAAGGAGTAACCTTTCATTTTCTTCCGCAAGTCGTTTGTCAACATGTAGCAGATACTCAGATACCTGAAATGTAGATTACAATTAATTTAGCTTATATAAACAATAGATGTTCATCTAAAAAAATATTTCTAAGCTTAAAACTCTACCTCACTCTCTTGAACAAGTCTTTGACCCTCTGCAGTGTAGAGCATTTCTGTTGCATCTAAAAACTTCTTTTCAAAAGCTTTTTGATATATCTGAAGGGATAGTTTAGTAAATAAAACCAATAAGTAAAAATTATTGTTAAACTATTACAAATAACAATATGAGTTACCAATATTCTAGAGTATAATGCTGTTATTCCATTTACTTACATTTAAATCTGAAAGCATACGCAGCAAACTCTTCAGTAACTGCCGGTTGACTGCTTCGCCGTTTCTTTCGCGCTCAATAAGTTTAAGCAGTCCATCAACAGTCTTAGTCTCAACTACTTTATCAGATATAATATGTTGTCGAAATAGGTCTAGGCCCATGTCCCTATGAAAAAAACAATGCAAATTAACACCCCAAATAATTAGAGTGACAACAAAGAATAAAAATAAATTGGGAAACTTAAGACGAGACGGCCAACCAACTCTGGTTTACATTAAGAAAAGGCAGCTGGTATCTGCACTTCATGAGTTGCTATGTTTGAAATGGGTAATTTTGAAACTAATGACAAGTATACCGAATTCTTACCATATAGATAGAATGGATGAGTTTTGAAGCACATAAGTTCGATCCAAATACAGAAAAATACTTCGAATCATTATCTGTAAAACAAGCAAGACAAGAGCAAATTAATTAACATTTTATTGTTATAGTAAGCATTTGAATTTAAAATAACTTTCTAGTAATTAACAGAATTTTTAAAATAAAAATTCAGTACCATTTGCCTACAATGATTCAGCCAACAGTTGTCGATAAGCTTAAGGAACTGTTCATAATCCAGAGTTTCAGTAAATTTCAGTCAAGGAAATGTATTTTGTATTCTTTTTAACTAACTGCACTTTTTGACAAAACAATACAAAAATAGCTTAAGCAATGAAAGAAACAAATAAAATAAAACGTTCTGAATAAAAAGGATATGCCAAGAATTGTCCAAGGTTTGCCCTGACATGCTTCTGGCATCGATTCATTAGTTGTGAGTATAAACCAGTTGCCATCTTGTAACTGCACATATTCTCCACAGCTTGGTATAATTCTTCCAAACTATAACGAATGGAACAGCTACTGTGAATAGCATCTACTGCACCTTGCAATTTTTCCCAGGTCACCTCTTGAAAATTAGCTGGCATGCTGGGCTTTTCTGTTGAGAAAAAAATTTAAGGTTTAGTTAGTTATAAACAAAATTTTAATCAAACCAGCTGAAGTATATTTTAAGTTAAAAATTTTCAGGTTCTTCGTGGTTAGATATTATATTCAAAGAAATATTATGGAAACTATTGTATTTGATAAAATTTCACCCAAATTTTTATGCCTAAAATTTTCCACAAGTAGAAGTTAGCCTACGCCCTATATAATCTTAAATCTATAGAGTACTATAGAGGGGAGAGAAAAACCAATTGGCCTTTAAATATGGGGTAAACAAGCATCTAGAATCTAGAGGTAGATCTATGTCTAGAATCTAGATGTAAAACGTGCTTGCCAATCTAAAAAGTGATTTGTTTAGGTCCGGGGTTTCAAACCTGTTGGCTCGCAATCACACTTCACTCAAAACAGAATCAGCTGGTGCTATGAACTGGAGACAAAGACATTGGTGGACATTTATGGGTCTACAGTACTACATGCTTTAGATCTGTTAGGCTTTTAAATCTAGATTAGATCTCTAGATCTAGGAGTCTAGAGACTGGTTCTATTTCTAGAATCTAGAAAAATCTACGTCTGCATTTTTGTTGTGACAACATTCTCAATCAATAGGCCTAGAACAAAGACTACCTTTGAAATTTTTGATAACCAGCTTCTTGGCAGTGCCTTGTTTGTTAACAGCTCCTACTGCCTGATTATTCTTGTTCATGCCGTTAGAATTTGATGTATTAAGTGCTGAAAAATTAGCTTTTCTTTGGGGCTCTGCCATGGCGAGTTTTAGTAAATTTTCAGCAGCTTCTTCAGCATCAGATAACTTTCTACTTTGATCTTCGCAAAATCTTGTTTTTTTAGCCTCCGACTTATTTTCCTCTGACAAGGTACGTTTAAGTGGATTTGAGAGAGGCATTCATGCTTAAAAAGGGCCTTGAAATGGCCACTTTATCAACAAAATAAATAGTGTTCACTCTTTTTTTTCGCTAGAAATGTTACCAAAATGGCCGTTCTCGTTATTCAACGAGACAAATATAGGCTACTCTCATAATTTAAGAGTGAGAAATACGCTTAAAGAGTTGTTTCCCTTATTTTCCAGCAAAAGTAGGTTTTCATGAAGCATAACTACCATAACAAGTTGCACTAAATAGGCTCGTAGTTTCATAACATTAAAAAAAAAATTAAGCTAAGCACCCTTTTTTTATACGTCAGTATGCTAATAAGCAAGGAATAAAAATGATAATTAATAATACATTGCTTATTTTGCGATTTGGAAAACTGTTTTAGTAAATTGTAATATCAATTGATTGATCGCTATGTTGACCGAGCTCAGTTAATATTTTTTTATCAAGAAATCGATGTTTTAAAGGAAATTAAAACTGTTATTTTGAGGGAAGGTTGTACGCTGAGATAAAACATTATTTAGAGGGGGGGGGGGGGTATTATTTGTGCTTTATAAATTTAATGTATACTTACTATTTTTATATCAAACAAAACAAACAAAACTAGGCCTATCCCAATTCGTCGGTATCAAAGTCAGGCCGCACCTCCTCAGCCAATCATCTGGCTCTTCATATCCCCACCTCATCATATCCCCACCTCTTCATATATCCCCAGCTCTTCATATCCCCACCTCTTCATATCCCCACCTCTTCATATCCCCACCTCCTCATATCCCCACCTCATCATATCCCCACCTCATCATATCCCCACCTCTTCATATCCCCACCTCTTCACATCCCTACCTCTTCATATCCCCACCTACAACAGAATTTGTAAAATGTGCACTTTCTTTAAAAAAAATTATTAATCGAGCATTCCCTTACTAAGGCGAACGAACATAAATACTGTTAATTATGTGCAAGCTATATTGATTTTTTATTCAAAAAGAATGTTGCTAGTAATTATATAATATTGATTACTTGTGCGGGGTAAGATTAGGTAACTTGAACAATATTTATTACAATTTACAAAATAGTCTACTAGAACTAATAATTATTACAGCAAAATAGCTGCTAGCGTTATTCTATATTTTAAGAATGCAAAACTTTCTTACCCACCCGTTCCACCCCCACCCCCGGGTCACACATCGTCATAATTTAGCTCCCTTTAATTAATCGAAATTAAACAAGCACTGCATTGTGTCTGATACGTTTTTTCTCATTAATAGATTATTATGCAATTGTGCTTGGACACTATCAATAAATTTTCACCGCACACACCCACATCCACCCCCACATATATATATATATATATATATATATATATATATATATATATATATATATATATATATATATATATATATATATATATATATATATATATATATATATTTAATTTAGCAAAAAAAATACATCCTCTAGGTAAAAAAGTAAATATTTTAAGTTCACTTAGATTGTCAATTTATAAAATTTATTTTGGAAGCTTTCATTACAATACATTTTTAAATCATTGGTATTTATTGTAAGACGCAGATAGTTTATTTGTTGAAGGGAAACTACCGTTGAAGTGGAAGAAATCCCGTTCATATTTGTTTTCCCCTATTCTTTCCCTTTCCAAAATAAAACGTAAACAGCCGCTTTAAGCTAGTTAAGTCTCAGTTTCCAATAATATTACTAGAAAATATAAATAACATTATAATCATCCTTGCCCAAACCCTAACCATAAACCAGACAAGTACTTCTCACCTCAACACTTAAAAGTAGCAAATGATCGTAATCGTTAACACGTAAATTTAGATAAAATCTATATGTACAAAAATAACTTGAGCCTTTAATGAACCTATTTGTACAATGCGACAATATTTTTTTTAGAGTGGTAAATTAAAATGTACATTTGACTTGAATAATTTTACCTGAAGGTAAAATCCCAATCGTAAATAGCCCAGCAAAACATCCCCTTGGCATAATCGATTACTCGAGACATATATCGAATGTCAAAAAACAAAATAAAAACCGGACGACTATTCAAGGTTGCTCGAAAACCATCTAAAACATACAGAAAGTGTCTTTTAATTTTAGCATATAAAACCTATACAGTCGTAGCTCAGAATGCTAATCTAAAACCTCAAGTATTTTGTTCTAAACCCTCAAAACGCTTTTCCAAAACTTGCAGAATGCACATCTAAAGCACATAGAATGTGCGTCTACAACCTAAATAAGCCCACAAAATGTATCTCTGCAACTTAAATCAGCTTCTAAAAAGCCCACAGAATGTACGTCTGAAAGCGACAGAATGTACCTCTGAAAAATAAAACAGCTCCAAAACCCACCAAAGGCGCCAAAAAAATTCCAAACTTTCTTTCCGCTCATGCAAGTTAAGTTTAATGATTTTTGTGGTGGAATTTTTTTTTATTCGGATGTTGAATATTGTCTAGAAATGAGATGGTGTGGTGATGACGTTTCTTGAGCAACCCTAGGTGATGTGTTGTCTAGGTCATGTATTTGTGATGTCTAGGTCATGTCTGTGTTTGAGTTGTCTAGGTCATGTCTGTATTTGCGTTGTCTAGGTCATGTCTCTGTTTGTTTTGACTAGGCCATGTGTTGTCTAGGTCATGTCTGTATTTGTGTTGTCTAGGTCATATCTGTATTTGTGTTGTCTATATCATGTCTGTATTTGCGTTGTCTAGGTCATGTCTCTGTTTGTTTTGACTAGGCCATGTGTTGTCTAGGTCATGTCTGTATTTGTGTTGTCTAGGTCATGTCTGTATTTGTGTTGTCTGGGTCATGTCTGTGTTTGTGTTGTCTGGGTCATGTCTGTGTTTGTGTTGTCTAGGTCATGTCTGTATTTGTGTTGTCTAGGTCATGTCTGTATTTGTGTTGTCTAGGTCATGTCTGTATTTGTGTTGTCTAGGTCATGTCTGTATTTGTGTTGACTAGATCATGTCTGTATTTGTGTTGACTTGATCATGTCTGTATTTGTGTTGACTAGCTCATGTCTGTAATTGTAATGTCACGAAATGAATGAGTACAGTGATGACCGAACCGAGCAGCCCCAGTTCAACTTGTCTATTTGTGTTCACATTCTGCGGTTTTATAAAGCAGTATTGCTTTGTATTTTCTTTCCCTCAGCTATAGCTAGTAGGCTTTAAGTCTGTAATATTTGATCTCGATATAGATTTTTTTTTCCAGCAATGTCAAATTATTTGCTTATTACAAAAAAATCGTTGAGCGATTATCATATTGGCATGTTTTATATATATATATTTTTACAAGTGATTGTAACTGAGATATTATTTAAACTATTTAATAATTTTCATACAATATGTGTGTGACGTCTGGTGATGCATTCTCGTCGTCACACATCGTCACACATCATCATAATGTCACACATCGTCACACATCACCATGTGACACATCATTATAATGTCACATATCGTCACACATCATCATAGTGTCACACATGGTCACTCGTCTGCTTAGTGCCACACAACGTCACTAAACCTCCACACCCATATTAAAGATGCCCTAATGATTAATTTAACACATTAATAGCTTTACAACAAACTGTTCACTACAACATTTTAAACTGTATTGGATATCCTGATTAAAAAGTTTTTTTATTTAAAAGTTCATTTATTTAAAAAAAAAAACGATTTTTTTTGGAAGGCAAACGAAGAGGTCGAATCGAGAAATCAATAAGTTTGGAAATTTGACCAGATAGCGTTCGGGGTTAATCTTGTTTACATTCTCCCCACCCCACCCCATCACTTCCCCTCCCCACCTTTCCCTTGGCTGTCAAAGCTGTACCACCCCGTCGCAGACACCCCTTTCTTGGAACTGAAATGTATCTATAGAAAAAAAATAACATGGACATGTAAAAAAATTACATTGAGAACACTCCAGTAACCTTTCATTATCCCAACGTACTCGCGCACACGAAGTGTTTGCGTGCGATTGCGTTGTATAAAAAAAAAAACAGTTTGCACGTCGCTAGGGGCGATAGGATAAAGGGCGTGTCAATCTAGTACACTCCAAAAAACTGGATTTTGTTTTCTCATGAATCAAACTTAAAAAGAGCGTATCTCTTAGCGCTCTGTATCAAGCTCCAGACCAGTTCAAAAGTCGAGTGACGTAAATATCATTTTCAGTCGATCCAATTAGTATTCCATTAATCACAAACTTAATAGTTTTTTTATTGCTTTTATCGAAACATCATGTAATTTATTGATTAATTACTGTTGTTATTGCATCTTTAAAAAAAAGTGTTGTTACTGATGTTGCTAAATCGTTCGTATGACTTATAGTTTAATTAATTATGTTGCCATATCATTCGAAAAACTAATAGTTTTGTTATTGAATGATGTTACCACATTATTTATATCACTCAAACTTTCGTTAATGATGTTGCCACATTAATTATATAACTAAAAGTTTTGTTGATGATGTTGTCACAACATTCCTATATCGTTTAACTAATAGTTTTGTTACTGCTACATAAGCCTACCCTAAATCTAAAATTAATCTAAAGTTAACCATAAACTTTATCCTTAAAGATTACCCCAAAACCAACTCTTGCGCTTGAGATATATCTACGCTAACAATTTTGCCCAATGTTTAACCCGAAGCATATAGCGCAAAACTTTACTGCTCCTAAATATAACCATAAGCATTTATCTACCTAGTAGTAATCAACACAAAAAACCATTCTTATCGTAAGCTAGAACCTAACCGAATTGTGATGTAAATATTGTCTGATAGGCTTTAAAAAGACACCCTTATCACCAGTTCATTCTCCCCCCCCCCCCCAACATAAACCAAACTCTATCAAGTAACAAAGATCGTCTATAAAACTTAACGTGAGATGCGGCAGAGGTTTTTTTTTAGATTAACATACACCTGTTTATGATTGTTCAATATTTTGAAAAATTCTGAACTAACCATGAAAGGGACGGATTCATTACACTGAGAAAAAAAAAACATTGATTAATTCTAACAAATATAGTAACAACATAACAACTATATTAAAATCATATTAAATTTTAATTAAAACATTCTAAATTACGAACAGATTTATTAATTTCTAAAT